CCTCGCGACCTTCCATGGTGGGGATTGGCGGACGAGGCTGTCTGCATGCAAAGAATCCGTGACCAAGAGGATGGGCAGATTCATTCCCTCAAAACCCGAGTGAGGCGAGTTCGTGGTCAGGGTTCGTTGAGTCTTGACAGCGCAAAGGTAAAGGTTGTCTTTTGTGCCGCACCGCCATTGCAGTGCTGAGCTGTCTGGATGCAATGTTCCCGAGAATCTGGTGATAGGATGATGTTGGTTGCGTCACAAGCTAACTCACAAGTTGACCATAGTTGGACATTTTCGCTAGATGTAACCATAACGTTGCATACAGACCCATAGATGGAAGCAATAGGAAGAACGCTCAAAGATGTCAACAGTAAATGGATTGTAAACTCAGCAACTCTAGTGTGCCCCTTATCCATATGCCAGCTATATATATGCTAGAGCTGGTTCACATGCTAAAAAAAAAGGATTACGTTACTTTCTCGCATCAAATCAAGATATGGAATCCCAATTCGCATTTCCAAGAAACAATTGGAGTTGATAACTTCAACATGTGGAAACTGTCTATCACTAAATAGTTCTGTCTACAGTTCGGTGCTCTGGTCTCCATTTGATCCTTTTGGCAATCTTTACAAGCACGTCGTCTTACATCTCCCTTCCCTGCTCGGATCCATCGCTATAAGCATACCACCTCTCGCCAACACCGTCGTTCTCTCTTCCCAAGCCAATACCCACCAGACCTCACCTCTTCTTCCCAGTCCCACATAGTTTCCATCTAATCTCTCGACCAGTTATGTGTTCTAAAACCCCTGGCCGTCGGACATAGACTAGAGATGCTGCTGAATATGTGACACCGATCAACGTGCACGGCGATTCGTGCCGGTTATAGTTGCCGATACTTGTTATGGTTGCTAGTCTCAACTGGGTTGTACTTCATGCTGCCTGAACTCGCATTTATGCGGGACTTCTTTCTTGCGGTGTCTCGCGTTCTGCGGTTTCGATCTCGGATGGTGAGTTCTGATGTTCAGTAGATGTTGCTGCTGTTTCCAACGGTTGCAGGAACATCGTCGAACTAATGGCCGGTTTGTTTGTTTGTTTGTTTTTTCATTTACTGTGTTTGCGCCGTCTATGAAGGCGTTTCTAATTGCACCTCTCCGGCCGGATTTTCAAGTTGCTTTCGGCTGATCTTGTCAAACCGCCTGATTTTGTCGATCGTAACGATACGCGGCTGATCAGATCATCAACCAGAGAGAGTGCACGGCTTCTAGGTATGTGCTCTCTGCGGGGTGTCTCTTCGTTAGTGTTTTTTTTTCCTCCAGCTTGCTTTCCGATTTTGTCGCTTTCTTTTCTTTTCGAGCTCCGCCGGTTGGCTTCCCTTTTCTTTATCTCGTGACATGGGTCCTTCGATCCCCACTCCGCCCCACCCTTCCAACACACTCCTGGGCCACCTCCCCACCCCGAACCCCTCACACCCTCCCTCGCATTTCGCCTTTTGATGCTGCACTCCTGTATCCGTCGGTCGATGGTGTCTGCCTGCGAGCTTTCTTTCGCGTTTCTTTCCTCTTTAGATCTTGATCGCCTCTATGATTATGCTACATGTTATTAGCTCTAGCTGATTGGCCGTGATGAGCAAAACTAGATATCCATCGGATGAGAGGCGCAATCCTTGCCATGGCTCTCCCTTCCGTTTTTTCTCCGTCTCGTCCCGCTCTCTCGCCCTCCTCCTGCTCTCTCACGCTTCTACTACAAATGCTCTCTCGCTCTTTCATTCCTGGGAAAAGCAGAGGGTTTGAGTTGGGGGCTTTTGCGCTGGCGTCCCTCTGGGATCGCATCTGCGCATTGCCCGTTCTGCTGTTGCTCGCCTTCTCGCCGGTGGTAACCACCATACGGAAGCCGCTGCAGCAGCAGATTAGCCAGCGAGGATCCCCACCCTCCCGTCATCCCCAGGGAGACTAGCCTGAAGCCTCGCATGTGCTTGCATTCGTGCATGCATGTGCTGGCTTCAGTGGTTTTATCCCTCTGTGCCCTCTCCTTGCTGCCTCTGGGTGGCTTGTGGCTTGCCGGACGGGGGATCGGCCACACATTGCCATGATGGTCATAATCACTGGAGTACATGCAAGTTGTTTCGAGAGTGTACTTGTGTAACATTCTCGTTTGCATCGCTCCAATGTCGATGCTTTCTCGGCTCCTCGTTTCGTTGTTTCCCATTTCGATTCTAAAAACCCGGACATTTTCCACCCAGTTTCGTGTGTCGAGACCAATGATTAGATTACAGTTTCAATTAACCATCTTTCGGGACATACAGGGCTAACCACCCTCCTGATGATAGCAGCTGACGAATGAGGTCTCAACACGCGCAATTCTTTTACCGTGTTCTTTTGCCACCAGTCTTCTGTTCGTGCTATTGTCGTGGTTATGCATTTCTTTCTGGTTTCCATGGTTCCTCTAATCATTCTGGTGCGTCTCCTCGTCCCCCCGTTATTATCTGGTTCTTCGTCAGATGGCATGACTCGCTGGTGGCAATGTGGCGGATCCCAGGCTGACGTGGCTGATCCATTGCAATTAATCAGTGACCGTCAACACCAGTCGACGCTGAGGTGGCGCGAGGCACATCTCTTGACACGTGGAAAGTGTGCACATCCGTGCACCCTCCCCAACAGACCAATGCTCAATGCTCTAGGTAAGTTCCGTCTCTATACCTTGTTGCTGCGGGTAAGATCCATGCGTACACTCTTTAGGTGTGGGGGTGAGCTCTCTTTTATGTACTGTAGTTCCAGGGAGTGATGTCACATGTACTGGCCGTCAGTCCAAATGTTACAGTAGCAGCGTCTGACAGGAATGATGATTTCCTATTGCCACCTTTCGTCTTTAAAGGCCTCCACGATTAAATCTTTGCAACCATCCAAAGCAACGTCTGGTCATCCAGGCTGCTAATGCGGTGTGATAGATCAATAACATGAGAGGCCTCCATCTCTTTCAATCTCTTCCCTGATGCTGCTAGCCACGTTAAGGTGTGGGTGGGCTGTCTTGATCGTGGGAGGAAGGCGGAGGGGTGGATAAGGAGTGCTGTGGAGAGGAGAAGGCTTGGAGAGGCTTGGAGATGCGTGTGTCAGGTGAGGGTCATGGAGTCATATGGTGGCTGTCTATCTGTTTTCTCCCTTTCATGATTCATGCCGCCTCTGTGATTATGAAAATGTTATTAGCTCTAGCTGATTCCCCATGAAGAGCAAAACTAGATATCCATCGGATGAGAGGCGCTACATGGTTTTGGCTCTTGTGTCCCTTGCTCTTCACTCACTTCATTTTAACCCTCGTTTTACACTAGTCCTCGTTTTGCTCTTTTCTCTATTCTGTATCCCTGCTTTACATTCTGGGAATGTCCGTGACTGAGACCAATGATTAGATTACAGTTTCAATTAACCATCTTTCGGGACATAGTGAGGGTTCCCCCCTCCTGATGATGTCCGCTGACAAATGAGGTCTCATCTCTCTTGATAACTCCGGTCTTGTATTGGCCTAGTTCCACTGACAATTTATTTACCTCTGCATGCAGTCATTATGAAGTCTACCAAATTATTGGGCTGTTAATTCAACATGTCTTAGTTGTCCTTTCCTTTCTCCCCATCACCACCCCTGCCTTCCGCCCTCCTGCTCTATTGTCCAGCGTGCAGGACTGTTGAAGTGCAGGACTATCGAAGAGGTTATGTACGTTGCTGTTATTTGGCTGTATGTTATACCTGAATTCTGACCATGAAGTTATACCAATAGATACATCTCAATGGAAACATGAATCCCATTGGTAAACGCATCCAGTTAGGGATGCACCAACCCTAAACACCCAGGGCAAAGTGGTTGCCAAGTTGGAATATCTGCCCCCAGATCTACGTTTCGTGGGAATTACCGTGAGACATCAGGGCTTGCCGTTCAGCTGCGGTAACATTTAGTCTTCAGGCAAGCAAAATATCATTTCTTTCATTTTGTGACTTGAAAATGATGGCTGGTTTACAATACGAAAATGAACTGCACCGCGAACCACACTTGTGCACCCCCCACACCCGGACAAACCCTGCTGACAAGCGGCATAATGTTCCGGCGGCAAAATCCCCGAACCTCGAAGGTGCTTGATTTTCCGCGGATCATTGCCGCGTCCCATCACCTGTCCCGAAGGTGCTCTTGGGTGGCAACCTGCGGCTCCCGACTCTGCTCGGACCTGTGGGACTCAGGCTGGCCAAATTATGAACAGCTGGCTAAAGGGCAGACACGTCAGAAGCTGCTGGCTCGGCTTCACAACGCGCAAATTTTTGTTTAGTAAAGCGCGTTGTTTAGCACTGTTTGGGGTGCTAGGCTTACGTGTCCAAGGCGAGGTTTTGTTTCACGCGGCCCTGCCAGGTGGCTTGGATTCCTCGTTGGCCACTGGCCCAGCTAGATTGGTGGGAAGACAGCTCTGAGTGTATAGTGGAGTTGTGAGTGAACGAAGCTGTGACTGTATGGATGGAATCACACGTTTCTGGTAACGATTTTTGGACGTGCTAGCTTTCATGTGATGCGAGTTCCGTTGACTCAAGTCCACGCGGGGGTCTCCTCCTACGAAGCCCGCTCGCACCACACCTCGCACGACGCGACACACTGCCGTTCGATCATCGAGGATCCATTGAACTCACACGAACCGTCGGATCCTGGGGGAGTTGCAGGGCGACGTCGCTGCCCTCCCCCAACTGCAACGTCTCCCGTAGGGTTTGACCGTCAACGGAGAGGCATAAATATTTCATACCTTTCATTCCAACCACAGCAACGTGGGTTCTTCCGCAGAGTTTTCCTCACCAAACCCGGCAAGCAAGAAGCCGACCATCCGTGTTGTGAAATCCCTCCGTAGCCCACGACCTTGGGGTTGACGAGAGTCTTCCTCTAGGCTAGAAAGCAAGGAAGCTCCCTCCAAACCAACTCAACCCAACCCAAACCTATCTCAACTCCGCACCGAAAGCAAGCCAGCGTAGCACACGAAACCCTATCTGCCCATGTCCTCCGCCATAGCGTGCCCGTGGAGTCCCCACATGGACCAACACCAGCACAACCAGCAGCACAACCAGGAACTCTTGCACCCAGATCAGCAGCAGTTCCGCCTTTCCCCAGCCCACATATCCTCTCCCACGAGCGAAAGCCCGTTCACGTGGCCGTTACCTCCCGCGTTAGATTTACCGTCCACTGACGAGTTTCTTCCCGACGAGGCTTCTCCGTGCTGGATTTGGGCTCAGCAGCAGCCATCAATCCCCGCCGCAGTTTCCGCCGCAACGGCCTCTGCCGCGCAGTCGGGCTCAGCGCCAGCCATGGCGACTGCAGTGGCGACACAAGCCACGTGGGAGACCACTCCCGCCGCCAACTGCGGCGCAGCTAATGGATTCCGACCTACCGCAGACGCTGCCGTGCCCGCCGCCTCCGCCTCCCACTGCGCTTCTTCCGGAGTAAGCTTCCCCGCAACTCCCGCTTCCCCCTCGTCCGCATCCGCTCCTGCCGCCACCACTACCCTTCCGCCACCCGCTTCCGCCGCCTCCGCCGCCCCCGCGCCGTCTCCGCCGTCCCTCCCCGTGGCGCAACTGGAAGAGCTCCTTCTCGACGACTGCGGAGTCCTCGAGATCTCCATTCCCCAGCGCCGCTTCCCCTCATCCTTCCCCCCATCCTTCCTCTCATCCGCGGCGACGGGAAGCCTCGCGTCAACCCTCCCCACCGCGGGGACCCTCCCCTCCGCGGGGATCCTCCCCTCCGCGGGGACCCCCTCCGCCGCAACTCCCGCGGATCTGCGCGAGCAGGGGTTGAACCTCTTCGCCAGCCTCCTTCCGCTTCTCTACACTCCGCGCTGCGCCGCCACCGCCGCCATCGCCGCTTCCCCCGCCGGGGAGAAGCTCAAGCGCGCGCTCGCGTCGTCTCCGGCGGCTGCCGGTATGTTCGAGGCTTTCGCCAACCGGCCGCAGCCGTCCCCCGCGCCGCTCGCGTCGCCGATGCTGTTTGAGCAGTTTCAGCAGCAGATGCAGCAATGGCCCGCGCCGCAGGTGGAGCAACAGGAGCAGTCCGAGCCGCAGGTGTCGGAGTCGATCGCCGCGCCGCAGACGGAAGAGGATATGGACGAAGCGCTCCCGGAAATCGAGAGCCCGAACAGCGTCGACGTGACCTCGCCGCACCGCGACTTTGACGACGGCGGCCTTGACGAGCCGCCGACTTCCGCCGCCGCCGCTACCGGCCCTGCCGCCGCTGTCCCCGCTCCGGCCTCCGTCGCTCCCATCCCGTTCGCCACGGCCAATCCGACCGTTGAGGAGAACGCTGTCGTTTCCGCCTCTGTCCCTCTCGACGCTCCCGCCGCTACAATCGCCGCGAAACTGGAACCGGTTTCCACGGAGGAGGCGGGAACAGCGGCGGCTTCCCCGGCGGCGCCTGCCGCGGAGCCGCTGGATGACGGTTACTTTTGGCGCAAGTACGGGCAGAAAGCGGCGAAGGGCGCGGCGTATCCGCGCGCGTATTTCCGCTGCGCCGTTCCCCGCTGCCCGGCTAAAAAGACGGTCGAGCGTTCGTCCGAAGACGGCAGCACGATGGAAATCGTTTACCGCGAGGAGCACAACCATCCACGTGGCACTCTCCCCGGCCGCCGCGCGTCCCCCGCGTCGCAGGGCGGGGCGGGAGGGGCGCGCGTTTTAGTGACTGAGGATATGGGCGGGTTTGGCAGCGGCGGGAGCGGAATCCCGCCTTCCCCGGTCAAGGCGCATCAGGCGCAGCCACAGCAGCAGCAGCAGCAGCAGCAGCAACAGGCGCAGACCCAGGTTCCTTCCGCCGCTTCCCCCGCCTTCCCCGCGTCCGCGGATCCCGCCGCCGCATCCGCCGCAGCGGGGCTCGCGCTGCTGGAAAGTCTGAGCACGGAGGATCTCGCGCGCCTCGTCTCCGCGCTCTCGTCCGACGCAATGGCCGCCGCCACCGCCGTGCTCGAAGCGGCGGTCGCCGCCGGCGTGATGGACAGCAGCCGCCGCCGCCGCCGCCGCCGCCACCGCCGCCGCAGCCGGGGAAGCCGCCAACGCGCGTCCCGTGTCTCCGCCAGTGTATTCCCCCGCCGATCTCGCGGCCGCTGCTGTAAACGCCACCGCTGTTGTTACCGCCGCGACCGCCGCTGCTGAGGTGGCGCGCGGGCATATGATCCGATCCGCGTCGGACAAGGGAGCTCCGGAAGCAGCGGCAGGTTTGGCAGCAGGCTCGGCAGACGCTGGCGCGGTTCTTTTCCGGTCCGTATCGGCTCCTAAGGAGGAGTGCGATGATCAATCCTCCTCCGGGAATACCGGCGGAATTGCAGGATTCTCTAGCGGTGCCCTTGCTGCTGTAGCTGCTCTCACGCGCGGGTCGGCCTTAGCCGTCGAACCGTCAAGTTGCAGCACGGGAAGCGCCGGTAGCACGGGTAGCCGTCAAAAGCGCCGGTCGATGGAAGAAATTGACACCACGTTCAGCCCATCTTCCCCGAGCCTTCACTCTGCGAAAGGTAACTTTTCCGGAAGCATTTCGCCTGCTGGGGGGAACGGCGGCCGGGGAAAAAGGATGCGCACTGGGGGTGGCTCTGGCGGTAGGGGCAGCGGGGGGCGCGGAAGCGGAAGCGGAAGCGGGGGAGGAAACGCGGACGGACAGACGGTTACGATGACGGTCGTGCAGGTGGAGGGAACCGGCCGGGATGTGGTTGGCGACGTGGAGGATGGTTACCGCTGGCGAAAGTACGGTCAGAAGGCGATAAAAGCGAGTCCTTACGAAAGAAGTTATTTCAGGTGTAGCAAGGATGGTTGCGGAGCGAGGAGGGTTATTGAACGCTGCCCGGAACAACCTGAAGATGAGAGTGTAGCTGCGACTCACACGAATCTGCTCGTGACTTATATCGGGGTGCATTCCCACGCGCGGCCGTTCCGAGCCAAGGTTATCTACAAGCCTGTTCCGGACGCTTCACAGGAACCTCCCTCGGAGGAGAAACCCTCTGCTGACGTGGCTCAAACGGATCTGACCGAGGCTGAAGCAGGGGGAAAAGCCGACGCGAATGCAAATGCCACGTGGGCTGCTGGTGGTTCGGGCGCTGCTGCAGACATGCAGATGGCGATGCCACATCTCAGGGATTTGAAGATCGAAGATTTTGGTGACCTTCCTACGCTGTGGTGAGGCTAGTAACGGAACTTAGGGTTATAAAGGATCAGCTTATAACGCAGCAGCAATGGGGAAAGAGAAGGGAGATGAATCATCAAGGTGGGAGGGGGGAGGAGAGAACCTTCTACTGCATTTAGAGGGAGGGGGTGTGCTTTTAGTTCAAGGCTTGTACAGCCTTCCATCCATCCGCCTGCTTTGGCTGTGGGGACGGATGGCAGGCTGTACCCCTTATAGGGATGTTTCTTTACCAATGCTTGTGCTTTCCTGGCTTGTACAGCCTTCCATCCATCTGCCCGGCTGCTGTGGGGACGGATGGCAGGCTGTACCCCTTTTACTTGGTGTGCTTGTTCTGTTTGTTCTCTTTCTATGTCACTGCATGATCGCTTAAGTTATTCCAGTGCTTGAAAGACCTCGGTGTTCCTCACAATACTACAGCACTTTTGCACCAGGGGGGAGGCGATGTGTTTGGGGGTGGTGGACAATTGATCTAGAGGGGTGTCAGAATGATTCTCAAGCAGGCTGCCTTGAGATTTTTGCTAAAAATGGTGGTCGCATGATGCACTAACAAGCATCAATACAGCAGAAATACCGTAAGAGGGAAACATGTGTAACTCTGGCATTCATAGATACATACCTACCGGTAATACGGTATGAAATTTTGCTTCCTGTCTACCAGCAGCATTGCCAGCAGCACCAACAGAAGCAGGTCAACAGCAGCACCAGCAGCAGCAGCAGCAGCAGCAGCAGCATCAGCAGATGTTTCCGCAGCCGTTTCCTCCACCACCTTAGTCGCACGATATGGCACCCCTCTGCTTTTGAGTCGACTCAGAGGCACCCCTGGCAACAATAACATTCGCAGTGGCACCAGAAACAGCACCAGCAGCAGAAGCAGGGTTATTCCTCCTTGCCTACCCTTCCATCAGCGAAAGCAACGACACCAGCAGCTGCAGCAGCAGCATCAGCAGAAGCTTCTGCAGCTGCTTCCTCCAGACGTAGTGGGACAAAATATCACTTCTCTGGTCAGCAACACCATTCGCAGCGGCACTGGCAGCAGAAGCAGGGTTATTCCCCCTTGCCCACCCTTCCATCAGCAGCAACACCGCCAGCAGCAACAGCACTAGCAGCATCATCAGCAGAAGCTTCTGAATCTGCTTCTTGCAGTGCCCTAGTTGCACGGGATGACACGTCTCTTGTCAGGACTCAGCAACAGCTTTCGTAGCGACACCCGCAGCAGATGCAGGGTCATTCCTCCTTAGCTACCCTCCCATCAGCCGCAGCAACAGAACCAGCAGCACTGGCAGCATCAGCAGAAGCTTCTGCAGCAGCTTCCTCCAGAGCCTTAGTCGCACGGGACGACACCTCCCTGGTTACCAGCAGCGTTGCCACCGCCCCCACCACATACAAACCCATCTGCACCGGATCCAACCCAGACCCAGCACCAGCAGAAGCACCGGCAGCGGCAGTGGTGGTTACGGTTGCATCGGTAACCGCATCGAGGGCCACTCGGCCTGCTCCTCCCAGGTAGACATAGGCAAAGGTTGCAGGAAGCATGCCTAGGGATGAAGCAGCCACGTACTCGAAAAAACCGATGCCTGCATGGGGATGGGATGGGAGGAAAGGTGAGAGTTACGGTTGAGTCGGTAACCGCATCTAGAGCCACCCGGCCTGCTCCTCCCATGTAGACGTAAGCAAAGGTAGCTGGGAGCATGCCGAGAGAGGAAGCAGCCACGTACTCGAAGAACCCTATTCCTGGGGGAGTGTGTGTGGTGTGGGGGGTGGGCATGTGGGCGGAGAAGGAAAGGCGGTGGTTACGGTTGCGTCGGTAACCGCATCTAGAGCCACCCGGCCTGCTCCTCCCATGTAGACATAGGCAAAAGTAGCTGGGAGCATGCCTAGACAAGAAGAGGCTACATACTCGAAAAACCCTATGCCTGCATGGGGATGGTAGGAGAGGGGTGCATTGGAAGGGAAAGCTTGGGGGTTACAGTAGTCACATGGTCACCGCATTTAGACATAGGCGAATGTGGCTGGGAGCATGCCGAGAGATGAAGCAGCCACATACTCGAAAAAATCGATGCCTGTGGCAGGTGGGGAAAGTGGCAAGTGGGAAGGATTGACAGGAAAGGTGTTGGGATTTGTTACACGTAACCGCATTGAGAGCCACACGGCCTGCTCCTCCCAGGTAGACATAGGCAAAGGTGGCTGGGAGCATGCCTAGAGATGAAGCAGCCACGTACTCAGGAGAGCAGGGGTGGAAGGTGAGGGTTCAAATCAGATGCAACAGGAATCATCCCACCAGCCATGTACTCAACGAACCCTATGCCTGCATGGGGATGGGAGGAGAGCGGAGGTGGTGGGAGGGGATTAGATTGGACGTCTCAACACAGGGAGACTGGAGTAGACACATACTCGAAACCCGGTGACAGGAGGATATTCGACACAGAGGATAGCCGACACAGCATTGTAAGTCAAACCTTGCTCATGACTTTTGAAATTTCTCAAAAGTGACTCCCGAATATGAGATTTGAAAGGGAGAACGGGAAGATGGGTGATAAGCAGCACAGCCGCGTAAGTCAGATAAGCAGCACAGCACTTGTAATTACGAATACATAGTTTGAGATGGAAAAAGGGAAGATGGGCGATAGTCGGCACAGCAGCACGATGCGCCACCCGCCGACTAAGACAAAGAAGGAAAAAGCTCCAGATTTGAATCTTACCTGTGACTCCAAACACGTTGTTAGCAGCAGCAGCAGTCAGATCTTACCTGTGATGCCAAACACGTAGCTTGAGATTGAGAATGGGAAGATGGGCGACAGTCGGCAGAGCAGCACGATTCGCCACCCGCCGACTGAGGTTGGCACAGCACAGCAGCAGCAACCAGCAAAACAGCAACAATCTAACCTTACCTGTAATTCCGAATACGTAGTTTGAGATCGAAAACGGGAATATAGGCGATAGTCGGCATAGCAGCACGATTCGCCACCCGCCCACTGAGTTCGGCACAGGACAGCAGCAGCGATCAGCAGAGCAGCAACAACAAAACCGTACCTGTGATGCCGAACACGTAATTTGAAATCGAAAATGGGAAGATGGGCGACAGGCGACAAAGCAGCACGATTCGCCACCCGCCCACTGAGATTGCGCGATCCAGCGCCTCGAACCGCCCTTCCCCGAGCCGCCTCGCGAGCTGCCGCGCCACGAACGGCCGCGCCGCGTACCGCGCGATGAGAAACGAAACGGACGCGCCGAGCGTCGCGGCGATTAGAGTGATCGCCGTGCCGCGCGCGGCTCCAAAGAGGTAACCCGACGCGAGAGTTAGGATGGACGCGGGGACTAGAAGCACCGCGGCGATAGCGTACGCGGCAGCGAAATAGACGGCGCCGCCTAGCGGTCCCGCCGCGTCGCCGCCTTGCTCGACCGCTGCCACGACCTGCTGAAGGGGATTGGTCCACGTGGCGGCGGCGGCAACCGCGTCGTCACCAGAAATGGCGGCTGAGGCGGCGGCCGTGGCGTCAGCAGCGGCTGCGGCGGCTGCGGCGGTGTCTACGTGCAAGAAGACAAGCGCCGCCGCCGCTGTCAGCGACGCAGCCGCCACGAGGAGAGACCGCGACGCGAAGAAAGAATTCGATTGGTGTAGGAGCTCGAATAGATTCTGATCGAGCTGCACGCGGCGCGAAGCTTCGTCCGTAACTCGAGCCGCGGAAATCCCTAGGTTATCGCAGTCGTGCCGCGCAAAGACTCTCGAGTCTGGCGACGTGCCGTCATCATTCCGCTGCGAAATTCGCTGAGTTACACTGGGCTCCTCCGCAACAGTGCTACGCGCCTCGAGCCCTCTTCCACTGTGCGTTACCAGCTTGTCTTGACCTCCGTGAATGTGTTGAATCCGTTGACTGCCCGATATCCTCGAGCATTTCACGGAGCGGTAGCCGGGCCGCGGGTTACTGCGCGAATATCCAGCGGCAGTGGTTCGTAGCGTGATTGTAGTTTGTGCAAGAGAGGGGTATCTGGGTGCTTCTACTGTCGCGACTGGTAGGGCGGTAGGGAGGGCCATTGAGACCGCCGAACCGCGACGCGAAACCACGCCGTAGGAGTATTATGGGACGAGTCGACGTGGTTCAACGTGAGAGCACCACGAAAATCGAAGTTCTAGTTGGGGATGGTTTCATGAATTCCTCGGTATAAGCATAAATGAGATGATGACCTCGCGTCGCTCAGATACACTCCTTAGCGCCTCAGGTGAAAGGCACCACTAAAGTCGTAAATGGTAAGTAGGCGAATCTCAAATGAACAGCATGTATTCATCCACAACACTTGACCAGCCTAATACAGGAGCATTCTTGCCTTATCATCTGCTAGGTTTAAAGAGACTAACACATTTATGAGAGCTTGCCGCCACCTAAGGTATTCCAAATCCAAATAACGCTTTACGTGAACCACTAGGTCGATTATTGTCTGCGCAACCTCCCACGCCCCTGCGATAGATGTGAAAGATGCAAGAGTGAGAAGTGAATGATAAGGTGAGTCGGTGGAGGTATAACACGAAAGAAGCACGCATAACAGTGCGAAGAGAGGGGAAGAATGGAGGGAAGTGAGGAGTAAAAGTGCGGATGGAGTGGAGGAAAGCGGAGAGGGAAGTGGGAAGGGTAGTCAGGAGGGAAGTTACGAGTGCAGTGAAGTGAGGAGGTACGGTAAGTAACGAGGGAAGTGAGGAGGGATCTAAGGAATGAAGCAAGCAAAAGGAAGACTTACGAATCCTGAGCATCAGATGCGCCAAGTCCAGCTGTGCTCTCAGGTGTGCGGCCAGGTTGGATGTCAGGTGGCCTGAAGGAGAGGGGAGTGCGAGAGAAGTTGGAGTGAGGCGATGGGGTGTGAAGACATGGGGTTCCACGTGCGAACGTGCCAAGTACAGCTGTGCTCTCAGGTATGCTTCCAGGTTGGACGTCAGGTGGCCTGGTGGTGGGAAAAGGTGAGAGCAGAGGATGAGATTGCAACACAACGTGGCTGTGTGCATGTGGCAAGGCCGGAACAGAATTTCACGCTGAAACAACAGTTGCAATCGCTGTGGGAGCATAGGGACAAGCTACTGCTACTGCGAGTTGTCTGCCATTCAATCAAAGATGGGGCTGCAGGCACCAACACTTGCCACCACACACCCACCTTCCTCAGAATGCTTCACAGCCAGCCCTGCCACAGCAAACTTACCGTTGATCTGCAGCCTCAGCTTTGAGTGCGTTTGTGCTACAACCACCCTGCTCACACACCCACCTTCCTCAGAGTGCCGCACTGCCAGCCCAGCCACGGCGAACCGCCCATTGATCTGCAGCCTCAGCTTCACACAGCAAACAGCCTGCCCTGCCACTACCCTTCTTATGTGCATGTACACACACAGGCAAATCTGCTCATGCACCCACCTTCCCCCGAGTGCTTCACTGCCAGCCCCGCCACGGCAAACCGCCCGCTGATCTGCAGCCTCAGCTTCACACAGCAGGCAGCCTGCCCTGCCGATACCCTTCTCACACACCCACCTTGCTCCGACCGTCACCACACACCCACCTTCCTCAGAGTGTTTCACAGCCAGTCCAGCCACGGCAAACCGCCCGTTGATCTGCAGCCTCAGCTTGGGCGAGCAGCAGCCTTCCCTGCCACATAAGAAGGGTGCTTCTTATGTGCATGTACGCACTAAAGCAAATCTGCTCACACACCCACCTTCCTCCGAGTGCTTCACAGCCAGCCCCGCTACAGCAAACCGCCCATTGATCTGCAGCCTCAGCTTGGGCGTTGCCCCCAGCGCTGTGATGTGCTGCCGAATGAGATTGCTGAGAGAGGAGAAAAGGGCAGGAGAGGGGCGAACGAAGGCATGGTTAGGAGAAACGAAAGGGTGTTTAGGTTGAGAGCATCAGCTTCGGCGTCGCTCCCAGCGCTGTGATGTGCTGCCGAATGAGATTGCAATGAGATTGTACGGCCGTGAGGTGCAATGACTGCTCGCTAATGCACACAATAGCATACAAGCAATCAACACTCACTCAGTGCGCATCACCAGGAACATGTCCTCGGGAAGCCCTCCACCACGGCTGCCATGTCAGCCAGGCAATGACTACTCTGCTCCATATAGGATCCTGTGAAGGCAATTCACCCATCACTTACTCCGTGCGCATGACCAGGAACATGTCTTTAGGCAACCCCTCCACCATAGCTGTCAGGTCCTGCGGGCTGATGGCCTTACCACCCCCCCCCCCCCTCTTCAGAGAGTTACTCTCCCCTATGCACAAGATACACTTCACGCAACGGCTGTGTCTCCAGTCAACACTCAGTCGGTGCGCATGACCAGGAACATGTCGTTAGGCAGCCCCTCCACCAGCCCCTCTGCTGTCCCTTCCTTCACAAACTTTCCTCCCAAAGTCACTCAGTCGGTGCGCATGACCAGGAACATGTCTTTAGGCAGCCCCTCCACCACTGCGCTCAGGTCCTGCAGGCTGTTGCCTTGAGCCTACTCAGGCAATGCCTACTATCCATTGGATAAACAGTCATTCACCCCACCCATTACTCACTCCGTGCGCATGACCAGGAACATGTCTTTGGGCAACCCCTCCACCACGGCTGTCAGGTCCTGCGAACTGATGGCCTTGATCTCCTGAAGCAATGACCGCTCCCTTATACAACACAGTAGAGAGAATTGAGACTCACTCCGTGCGCATGACCAGGAACATGTCTTTGGGCAACCCCTCCACCACGGCTGTCAGGTCCTGCGAACTGATGGCCTTGATCTCCTGAAGCAATGACCGCTCCCTTATACAACACAGTAGAGAGAATTGAGACTCACTCGGTGCGCATGACCAGGAACATGTCTTTAGGCAACCCCTCCACCACCGCCGTCAGGTCCTGTGGGCTGATGGCCTTGATCTCCCTTCTCAGACTCTTCTCCTCCTCCGGTGACATGCGCTGCCCCCACCGCGTTTTACTGCAAAGGAAGGAAGAGGGAAACACGAAGATGGCGATTGAGAGGAGGAGAACATGGGGAACAATTAGGTCCTGCGGGCTGATGGCCTTGATCTCCCACCTCAGGCTCTTCTCCTCCTCCGGTGACATGCGCTGCCCCCACCGCGCCTTGCTGCGTGATGAACGGGGACAGGACAGTGCACAGTAAGCAAAGGCATGAGAGCAGGAAAGCAGAAAAGTCATGAGCGCAGTATTTGCTTTACATAGAAAAGTCATGAGCGCAGTATTTGCTTTACATAAGTCATCCGAGTTCAATCATAAAGTTGCTTACATCTCTTCTGACACCCACGGTGAGTGGGGTCACCCAAAGGTGAAGCTCACCTTTGAAAGGGCCGGGCAGTGAAGAGCGCAGGGAGGAAGCGTGAGTACTCCCCCACGCCCAGCTGCTCCCCCCACCGCTGCACACCCTTCATGTCCGATAGAATGAGCGAGCGCCACAGCTGGCAGAAGTCCCTTCTGAGCACCCCTCTTTACTGTCTGTCTAGAGTCCTCCACAGGCAATATCCTTTCTCACGCTCACCTTTGGAAGGGCCTTGCTGTGAAGAGCGCGGGGAGAAACTTTGAGTATTCCCCCACGCCCAGCTTCTCCCCCCATTGCTGCACCCCCTTCATGTCCGATAGAATGAGTGAGCGCCACAGCTGGCAAAAGTCCCTCCTAAAGCCGTCGTCCATCTCCCTATACAAGCCGTGGTCGAGCAGGACTGTGAGGGGGGAGAGGAGGGAGGGCGGGAGGGAGAGGGTAGGGAAGAAAGGAGTGAGCACCCAGAGCTGGCAAAAGTCCCTTGTGACGCCGTCGTCCATCTCCCTGTAGAGACCGTGATCTAGCAGGACTGCAAAGAAGGGAGATAGAGGGAGTGATGGGAGAGGGAGGGAAGGCAGGAGTGATGTCCGACAGAATGAGTGAGCACCCGCCAGAGCTGGCAAAAGTCCCTTGTGACGCCGTCGTCCATCTCCCTGTAGAGGCCATGGTCGAGCAGGACTGTGAGGGGGGGGAGAAGAGCAATTGACGAGAGAGGCGAGGGGCACAGAGGGAGGGCATGATGAGCGACCGCCAGAGCTGGCAGAAGTACCGTCTTAAGCCGTCGTCCATCTCCCTGTATAGACCGTGATCCAGCAGGAATGTTAGAAGGGAGCCACAGGGAGTGATGGGAGAGGGAGGGAAGGCAGGGTAAGTGAGCGCCACAGCCGTCGTCCATCTCCCTGTACAGGCCGTGGTCGAGCAGGACTGTAAGAAGGGCAGGGGAGCGAGGGCAGGGGAGCGAGGGCAGGGGACAGAGAGCAGGGGACAGAGAGCAGGGGACAGAGAGCAGGGGACAGAGAGCAGGGGACAGAGACCAGGGGACAGAGGACAGGGGACAGAGACCAGGGGACAGAGAGCAGGGGATAGAGAGCAGGGGACAGAGAGCACGGGACAGAGAGGGGACAGAGAGCAGGGGACAGGGGGCAGGGGACAGGGGGCAGGGGACAGGGGGCAGGGGACAGGGGGCAGGGGACAGGGGGCAGGGGACAGAAGAGGGCATGGGAGCAAGGGCAAGGGAAAAGTGAGCGCCAGAGCTGGCAGAAGTCTCTTCTAGAGCCGCCGTCTCCCCCTGTAAAGACCGTGGTCTAGCAGGACTGTAAAATTGGGGGAAGATTGATGGGGAGAGGGGAGTGAGGGAGGGGGAAGGGAGGGCATGGGGATGAGTGATTGTAACAGCTGGCAAAAGTCCCTCCTGAAGCTGTCGCCCATCTCCCTGTACAACAGGACTGTGATCCAGCAGGACTGTGAAGGGGGAGAGGAGGTTGAGGAGAAGGGAGGAAGAGGGGAGGGAGAGGAGAAGGGAGGAGGAGAGGAGGAGAGGAGGAGAGGGAGGGAAGGCTTGAGGATGAGCAAACGCCACAGCTGGCAGAAGTCTCTTCTAAAGCCGTCGTCCATCTCCCTGTACAGGCCGTGGTCGAGCAGGACTGTGAAAGAAGGGGGAGGGGGCAGCCGGGCGGGTGGGGGAGAGTAGTCGTAGAAGCCGCAGCTGGCAGAAGTCCCGTCTAAAGCCGTCGTCCATCTCCCTGTAAAGGCCGTGGTCCACCACAGCACAGTTGCCTGTCACACTCACCAATGTCCGCTGCCCGGGCTTGGTGGTGCCGGGGGCGTGTGCCTGAATGATAACATTTCCCGGGTGGGGGTCCCCACCCATGCAGTCCAAGGCCTACAGTCAGGTGTTTTACTGACAAACGCCAAACACTCACCAAGGTCAAACTTCCGCTGCCCAGGCTTGGTGGTGCCGGGTGCATGAGCCTGAATGAGCACATTGCCTGGGTGGGGGTCCCCATGCAGGTGGCCGTGGCAAAAGACCATCTCTGCAAACACTTCTACCAGCAGCGCTGCCACCTGCGCAAAGGGGAAAGTCAGCGGAATGAGGGGAGAAAGAGGGGAGGCGGGGGTGCGGAGAGGGGAGCGCGAACAGGTTGGGTCTCCATGCAGGTGGCCGTGACAGAAGACCATCTCTGCAAACACCTCCACTAGCAGCGCTGCCACCTGCAGGGGGTTGGGGTTTGAAGGTTCAGGGTTTGAGGGTATATAAGGTGGGGGTTCCCGTGCAAGTGACTGTGACAGAAGACCATCTCTGCAAACACCTCCACTAGCAGTGCCGCCACCTGATGGGGTGTGAGTTTTGGGGTCAGTTTTTTTAATTAAGGGATTGCAGAAGGTGAGCCTCGGGAATAATGTCCCCATACAGGTCACCATGGCAGGGGGGGTTGAAGCCCAATGAGTGGCACAACACGCTGGATTTCAGAATTGAGGGATTGAAGGAGACTTGCCTTTTGAACGCATTTTGAACGCATGCTCGTGTTGTAATAAAACAGCAGTTGTGTAGGTACCTCGCTTATTTCAGTCGTCTCGACTCTCAAGGCACCTGAACGCCCGGTGTTTCAAGTCCAATTGTAACATTCGCGCAGAAATGTACGCACCTCTAGAGGATTGAGGCCCTGCTTCTTGATTCCTTCCAAGTCGTCAATCTGAGGAGGAGAACGAGAGGGGTAAGGGGGGCAAAATGGAAGATGATTGAGATAAGGAGGGTCAGTGAGAATGTGATGTGGCTCACATGACCCATGGCAGATACTGACACTTTATGAATGACTTGCAGTTATTCATAAACTCCATTGTCAGGATTCTCTTGGTGCTGAAGTCCTGGCGGCCAGAAATCTATGTAAGCCCGCCTAGAAATATAACAAGGAGCAGCACGTGACACACCTTGCAGCCATTCATGAACTCCATTGTCAGAATTCTCTTGGTGGTGAAGTCCTGGTGTTGGGAAAGGAGGAGACATAAGGGGGGGGGGGGGGGGGGGGGGGGGGGGGAGGGGAGATGGAGGGGATCGAGTCTTAGGCTGAGACGACGAAGCAGAGATAAAGCACACACTGAGCCACAATGGGCAGCCGCAACGAGCAGGCATAACGCAAAACTCAACTCAGCAACATACGCCCTGCTCACTCACCCATAGTAGCCCGGGCAATTTTCCCTCCTCGTTCACATCACACGACTCCTTGGCTGGCAGCACACGCATCGGAGAACCAGCCAACCATCTTAGCTCTCACCCACAGGATCTTGGGCACTTTGACCTCCTCTTTGTGTCTCAATAACGTCAGTGAATCATCCCACTAACACACAGCAACACATACCACCCATCCATGTCCCATAACACACGCCCAGCTCTCACCCACAGTATCTTGGGCACTTTGACCTCCTCCTTGTGTGCAAAGTTCTCTTTTTGAGACATCCCAAATGCCGCAGTAGCATACCTCAATAACACCAGCCTAGGAAACACCAGCCTCGGCAACACACACCCAGCTCTCACCCACAGGATCTTGGGCACTTTGACCTCCTCCTTGTGCGCAAAGTTCTCCGCTGTCAGCTCTGCATTGCGCCCCTCCCTCTCAAAGTCTGCCAGTGCCAGTTGCCAATGGCGGGTGAGGGAAAAGAGGGAGGTGAGCGGCATGAGGGGCGCTGTCAGCTCTGCATTGCGCCCCTCCCTCTCAAAGTCTTCCATTTGCCAGTCGCGGGTGAGGGGGAAAGGGAGACGAGGAGAAATGGGGATGATGAGAGTGACTAGTACTGATGTAAAGTTCTCCACTGTCAGCTCTGCGTTGTGCCCCTCCCTCTCAAAGTCTGCCAGTTGCCAGTTGCAGGTGCGGAACAAGGGCAAGACGAGAGCGGCTAGATTCTAAGGGTTGAAGTTTCTGGGACGCCTCCTGGAACTAAGGCAAGATCCAGAGTTCAATGTAACTGCACTCTACTGACAAGAATACTTATGTGTCTTCCGGCTCGATTCAGAAAACACAAGGGTTTGGAAACGACAAATACACACACCCAGCTGCTGCTGAAGGTTCTCTTGGAACTGAGGCACGATCCAGCTGCATGGACCCTTGCTTGACCGGGTCAACTACATGTGTGTTGTATGTGTGTTGTATTACACAGTAACACCAAAATACACCCGGGTGTGGAAGAGAGGGACACGCACCCAGTTGCTGCTGAAGGTTCTCTTGGAATTGAGGCACGATCCAGCTGAACTGGTAGTTTGGAAATATCTGAAGGATACAGGAAATTCAGTGTCAAGGAAGGAAGGAAGGAAGGAACACAGCAAGGAAGGGAGTCCATCAGAAAGCCTGTATTGGCCCCGGAGCAAGAGAGTGTCTGGCTGGCATGTTGAAGCAAACCAGAAGGCGCAATAGGATGCGCATGGGCAGCTAGATTTCAGGCTCTTGCCATCTTCTTTGTGATGTAAAGAAACGTAAAAAGGCGTTTCTTCGCGCCTCAAACCCCAACCCTTGCGTACCATATCAAGACTCACCCACTTGACGGCCCGGGAGAGGAAGCCCATGGTGTAGATGTCCGTTGCTACTTGCTCCTCCAGGCGTGGGTACTGCACCTGAAGAGGGGCAGAGGGGGATGTGAGGGGGGATTGAGTAATGACAGACAGGCCAATTGAGGAAGGAAGCCCATGGTGTAGATGTCCGTTGCCACCTGCTCCTCCAGGCGTGGGTACTGCACCTGAGCGTGTGAGATTGAGAGAAGGGAAGAGGGGCGAGAGAGAGATGAAGGGATAGAGAGATGACAGCTACTTAGAGCCCATGGTGTAGATGTCCTTTGCTACCTGCTCCTGCAGGCGTGGGTACTGCACCTGAACGTGTGACACTGTGGGGGCCAGAGGGGAGGGAGAGAGTGTGTGAACTGGACGGGATTGAGATCTGGCAGCGAGGGAAAGGAAGCCCATGGTGTAGATGTCCTTTGCTACCTGCTCCTCCAGGCGTGGGTACTGCACCTGAACGTGTGACACTGTGGGGGCCAGAGGGGAGAGAGAGAGTGTGTGAACTGGGCGGGATAGAGATCTGGCAGCCCGGGAGAGGAAGCCCACGGCCACACGCAGAGCATGCAAACACTCGCACACAGGCACACAGCCGGGCAGCCAGACACACCCGCCTTCACTGCCACTTGCTGCCCTGACGGCAGTGTTGCATGATGCAGGTGAGGCAACATGCAAACACTCGCACACGTTCACATATGCACACACCCACACAGCCACATAGACGCACAGCAACACACAGCACCCACCTTCACTGCCTCTTCCTGCCGTGACAGCCAAGTCACTCGACGCACCTGCGCCAGTGTCGCCGCTGCCAGACACAGACACACACAGCACCCACCTTCACAGCCACTTCTTGCCCTGACGGCAATGTCGCTCGGTGCACCTGGGCCAGTGACGCCGCTGCTATCGCCTCCTCCTCGAAATGCATGAAACTGAGAGGGCACCATAGACAACAGCCACACAGTAGGGGCACAGGAACGAGACAGAGAGGAGTGCAATTAGCCTAGTACTCAGCACACTGCTTTGAGTCAGTAATAGAGTAATGCAGAATCAGTGCCCTTTAATCAAGTTTTCTTAGCAGTATTCCCACCAGCACACGCACATCCCCTTCACCACACTTACACATCTCCTTGGCACTCTTGCCAAACTCCTCTTTGAACATGCGGTCAATCACTCTGAACGTAGAACATTACTATGAGTGATGACACAACTACATAGCACCTTTTTCCTTCCCTCCTTTCCCCCTTTCCCCCTTTCCTTCAGCACACGCACATCACCTTCACCACACTCACATCTCCTTAGCACTCTTGCCGAATTCCTCCTTAAAAACGCGGTCAATCACATTGAACGGACGACCCTTAGCCTGCATGCATCAGCCAGGGCAGGGCAGTTGAAAAGGCAAGTCACATTCTCAAGTGTCTCTCAAACTTTGCACTCTTGCCCAACTCCCCTTCTTTGAAACACGCAGTCAATCACATTGAACGGACGCCCCTTAGCCTGCATGCACCAGCCAGGGCGATCAGGCAGGCGGGAAGAGGAATCAGGGGAGGGCAGTGAAGAGGAGATTGCAAACATGTGGTCACACGTGGTCACACGTAGTTACACGTGGTCACACACGTGGTCACACGTAGTTACACTTGGTCACACGTGGTCACACTTGGTCACACTTGGTCACACTTCGTCACACTTGGTTACACGTGGTCACACACTTGGTCACACGTGGTCACTCTTGGTCACACGTGGTCACATGTGGTCACACTTGGTCACACATGGTCACACGAAGTCACACGTGGTCACACTCAAGGTGGAAATTTTTGAAACTTTGAGTGACCGGGTGGTCACACGTGGTCACTCAAGGTCAAAATTTGAAAAAAACGTCGTTCTTTTGCACCTTGCATAGGAAGATGCTGCAGAGAGGCAATGAACTGCCCCGCCTTGATGTCGATGGCGTGATTCCATCAGTCCCCTGAACCCACCTTGAGGGTTCATGGTACGGGGTTTCAGGTTCAGGGTTCAGGGTTTAGGTTTCTTCAACCCACCTGATCTTGCAGCACAGTGAGGGTCGTCCGGTATTCCCGAGGCAGCTGCTGCAGAGTTGCAATGAACTGCCCCGCCTTGATGTAAATGCCGCGATTTGCCTCACACAGCCGTAAGATCCTGTCCGCTGATCGCTGATGGATCTGACGATGTGGAAATCGGATGAGGGATGGAGTGAGAGAGGGGGGGATGGAGAAAGGAAGGAAGGAGGTAAGAATTGAAGCCAGCAAGCAAACAAGCAAGGAACAAAGCCCTCACTTGAAGCCATCACCTGACATTTTATTCTGTCTCAGCCCCACCCGGGACTGGATTCGTACACATTCTGCTGGCGCCACTCTTTTTGGGGTCGAATCAAAGCCATAAAATTCAGTCGGTCTAAAACTCACCTCTGACCGGATCCGGGCATATTCGGCTGGCGCTTCTGTTTTGAGCTTATCCAGGGAGTTGGCCAATGCCGACACCTTGTAGTCAATGCTGTTTATAGCGAACTGCAAATGAGGGGAGAAACGTGGACAAAATTGCTGTTTCGGGAGCATATTTATAAATTGGCCAGTGTGGACACCTTGTAGTCGATGCTGTTTATAGCGAACTGCAAATCGGGAAGGAATGCATGACGGAGGAACGGAACAGAGGGAGGAAGCCATGGTGCCGATACAATCATACAACCACTTTCAGTTCTCCGTTTACTCTCTATCGCGAACTTTAAATCGTGCACAAGCATTATGGCTTTGAAATGTTGAAATCACTCAAAGTGATTTCAATACAACCACTCTCAGCTCTCCGCTTTACTCTCTATCGCGAACTTCAAATCGAGCACAAGCATAATGGCTTTGAAATGTTGAAATCACTTTCGAGAATTCTGAAAAGTAATTTCAATACAACCGCTTTCAGCTCTCCGTTTACTCTCTATCGCGAACTTCAAATCGAGCACAAGCATTATGGCTAAGGAGTGTCACTCGTTCGTGACTCGCCCAGCTGCAAAAGGATATCCGGGGTCGTGTCCCCTCCTTCCTCCAGGCCTCACAATCAGGTAACTAGGCTCCTCATCCAGTCCCCCTCGCTCACCGTTCCCACGGCTCTTGACGACCTGGCGATTCCATCGGCGCTAAGAATCAGCCGCTTAACATGCCGGCTGTCCGTCTTCAAACCACCGTCTGTCGCCGCCATAGCGGCCCCACCGGCACCCACGCTTCCCAGCACGAGCGCTCCGACGATCCCGGCTGGCCGCTTCGCAAGGGCTAACGCGCCTCGCCTTAAAACGGATAACATGGTGGTAGAATGCTGAGGTGTACCCTACAATTAGAGGCCTGAGGTGAAGTGTACCCTACGTGGTAAGGGTCTGTATTTATCAGTGCTATGTGATCTCTGGAAGCTAGAAGAGTTTAACAATAACGAGGCCAGATAAGCTGCGTACTGACTCAACGATCGGCTTAAAACTTCGTCTAGAGCTGCCTGAAGAAAGTCACGCTTGGACCACTACTTGGTGAAACGAACAGTGGTAGTTCTGATTAGGTGGACACAACCCCGTGAATTACAGTAGCGGCTATCTAAGATAGCCGCGGTCGGATCAGCAACAGCAATAAGAGCCATGGAGGTTCAACCCTGATCAGAACATAAGCTTCTGATCAAGTGGCATATCCCCTGAACAAATGGCTGTGAAAATCATCAACTTCCAATGGCTATATACTCCATATAAGCCCTGTATCCCTACAGCGAAATGCTTCCGCTTCCTGTATCTGTGGAGCCCTTGTGGGAGGAAAATTTTTTATTGGCCACATCGTGGAGGCGACGTGGCTGGAATGTTCGAGGACCAATGTCGGCACAACAATAACGCGGGGAAACGGGCATCAGCGCGTGTCAGAAAAGCTCCACACCTTCCCAGAACCCTACCTAACCAAACCGTTGTGAAGCGCAAGTATATCATACTGAACCGCGCGAAAGTGAACTCTTACGACACCCCCCAAGCTAACTCGCGATGTTTGCATGCCGCCTTGCATCAGCCGCAAAATGATGAAAGCTTGACGGAGCAACGAGATTACCCAGATTACCGTACTCGACCGTTTGCAAGCTCCGCGAACCATGTAGGTCGAGTAGCACGTGCACTACCTTCAGCGCACGGAGTTCTCAAGACAAGAAGCACGAAAATATCGCAGTTCCCAAGACAGGAAGAAGGTGGATCTGTTGTGCTCTGAATCTACGTTTTCGCACCCTAATAGAGCAGATCATGCCTCAATACCTTCGCGTCACCGCGGTTCTAATCACTCATTCGAGATCCTACTGATTTCTAACCTCGGCGAGTTCCTCATCGGGATCCCCGCAGTGATTTGGCCACTGTTATTCCATCTCATTTGATTGCTCTAGTTCTGTCTCTCCAGTTTTCTTAGCGGTGTTTTGGTTCAAGTGCTCAGCACTTTTTTTTTGCCGCGATTCGTTTCCAGGACACAAATTAGTCTACATCCCTCATCGGCTCTTCGCCGATACTTATTAACTGAGTTGAACTACCATTTTTCTGCTCAAGAGTTTCAACTTTGAAACAAACTTCCTTTTTTTTCACGGCTAGTAGTTTGAAATCCGGCCATGGCTGGACTCGTGTCCCAGCAACTTCTCACGCTACCGTGTTCCGGTCAAGCTGTTCATCCACTACGAAAGGTCCGTGTTTCATGTCAAGTTTTGAGTCGCCTGAGACGTCAGTTCATCCAATCGAGTTGTTTCAACGGCACGAGTAGTTTGTAATCAGATGTGATTAAGGCGGAATCAAAATATATTCCTTGCATCAAATGCGCGGACTCTCAGGAGCTTTGCGTCACGTCCTAATCCTTTCTGTGTTGAAAAGTTGGCCTTGCGATCCTTACACATCCTATTTGATCCACTTGCAGGGAAGCGCCTCGTCGTCGTTTCCCCGCATTGCTCTTCTGAAACCCTCTCGATCCCGATTCTGTTCAGTCAAATCCGTCCGTCCATCTGTGCGGGCCGAAGCATCTCCGCAGTCCCAGCCAGGTAACCATCAATGAACCAGTCTTACGCAGTAAGGTTTTTCATGCGGTAATAGTAAGACATGCGGTTTGGTACTGTACTCACAAGCGTGGACTGCCTATTTCTATCTATCCCCGGACACTCTCCTCTTCTCATGCTTTTTTCGAGTGTTTTAAGCCGCTTGAACACTGGTAACGCCAGACTCATGCGCCTCGTTCTCCGCTTGCAGGCCCTGTCGCCGCCGCATCGGCATCAGCAGCAGCACCAGCTGCGGAGGAACACGCGCAAACACGAAGCAGCACAACCAGTAACAGTAGCAGCAGCAGCAGCACTGGCAGCCGCACCGCTGCAGGGGAAGACAATTTTCCAGCCGCGTCAATCGCCGAGACGCTACAACTCACAGGAGGATCCCTGGGGTTCGCCGGAGCAACGTCGCCCTTAGTCCCGGCTGTCCCGGGCCAGAGGAAGCAGGCTCGGCAGGAGAAGCGCATCGTGCTGATCAGGCACGGGCTGAGCTCGTGGAACGCGGAGGGGCGCGTGCAGGGGCGGTCGGACGAGTCTGTTCTGTCGGAGACCGGCGAGATCCAGGCGCTGCGATGCCGAGAGGCTCTGAGGGATACGCACTTCGACTGCTGCTACTCCAGCCCGATCTCGCGAGCCAAGGTGAGGCATGCTGCGGTATGGATGGAGGGGAGGATTCAGGGCTCAGAGGACGAGTCTGTTTTGCGTGAGACTGGCATTGACATGCAGGGAGGCTCTGAGGGATACGCACTTCGACTGCTGCTACTCCAGCCCGATCTCGCGGGCCAAGGTAAGACATGCAGGTGTGCAGATGAGTCAGATAGACGCAGAGAAGGAGGAGGGCAGAGTGGGCCGAGTGCATCACCCCCCATCAGAATGGGGCGAGTGCATCACCCCCCTTCAGATAGGGGTGAGTGCATCACCCCCCTTCAGATAGGGGCGAGTGCATCAACCCCCTTCAGATAGGGGCGAGTGCATCACCCCCCTTCAGATAGGGGCGAGTGCATCACCCCCCTTCAGATAGGGGCGAGTGCATCACCCCCCTTCAGATTCGGGCGAGTGCATCAACCCCCTTCAGATAGGGGCGAGTGCATCACCCCCCTTCAGATAGGGGCGAGTGCATCACCCCCCTTCAGATAGGGGCGAGTGCATCACCCCCCTTCAGATCGGGGCGAGTGCATCACCCCCCTTCAGATAGGGGCCCCCTCCCCCCACCATCAGAGCAGCGCGGAGATCATCTGGGAGGGGCGCAAGGAGCCCCTTGTCTTCCTGCTACCCCCTGTTGCACCCCACATTCCGCCCCCTCCCCCCTTCCCCCACCATCAGAGCAGCGCGGAGATCATCTAGGAGGGGCGCAAGGAGCCCCTTGTCTTCCTGCTACCCCCTGTTGCACCCCACATTCCGCCCCCTCCCCCCTTCCCCCACCATCAGAGCAGCGCGGAGATCATCTGGGAGGGGCGCAAGGAGCCCCTTGTCTTCCTGCTACCCCCTGTTGCACCCCACATTCCGCCCCCTCCCCCCTTCCCCCACCATCAGAGCAGCGCGGAGATCATCTGGGAGGGGCGCAAGGAGCCCCTTGTCTTCCTGCTACCCCCTGTTGCACCCCACATTCCGCCCCCTCCCCCCTTCCCCCCCCACCAGAGCAGCGCGGAGATCATTTGGGAGGGGCGCAAGGAGCCCCTCGTCTTTCTGGACTCTCTGAGCGAGGCCCACCTGCACTTCCTGGAAGGCATGCTCAACTGTGAGTGAATTCAAGAGTCTGTATAATCTAAGATAGTCTATATACGAAGGAACGTGTGGCTTGTAACGAGTGACTCTCTCAGCGAGGCCCACCTGCACTTCCTGGAAGGCATGCTCAACTGTGAGTGGCGGGGTTTCCAATTCTAAGGGGATAGATGTTGTGACTGTAATTAGGTAGTCAGGCGCGGTAGTTATAAGGTAGTTATTGGAGCGAGGCCCACCTGCACTTTTTGGAAGGCATGCTCACCTGTGAGTGACGGAGTAGGTGGGGTGCGAATGACTAGTTTCTGAGGTGGGTTGAATAGGACTCATTGCTGCAGGATGACTTTGTGAGTGTAACGAGCTAGCTCCCTCGGTGAGCCCCACATGCACTTCTTGGATCTGCTTTTGAGTCGACTCAAAAGCAGGATGACTTTGTGAGTGTAACGAGCTAGCTCCCCCGGTGAGCCCCACCTGCACTTTTTGGAAGGCACGTGAAGCTATCTCACTCACAATGTGAGCCCCATGTGTCAGTGGTTTGGATCAGACGGATTGAATGACTGGGTTAAAGCTGGACGTTCCAGGTGGGATGATATAGTGACTGTGGCCCTCAGTGACTTTCCTGCTTTGTTGTCTGATTTTTTCCAACACTCTTCTTCCCTTTGCTTCTCTCACGCTCCTCCTGCTTTCTGTTCCCTGCTGTTGCCGAACCTCCAGCCGAGGCTAAGCGGCTGTATCCGGACCTGTTCCGAGCCTGGAGGGAAGATCCGGCAGACTTCTGTGTGGATGGGGTGTTTCCGGTGCACCAGCTGTGGGAGCAGGCTAGGGACACGTGGCGAGAGCTGCTAGAAAGCCCAGTGAGTGTGACAGTAGCGAATAGTATTATAATGAATGGAAAGTTTCCGATACACCAGCTGTGGGAGCAGGCCAGAGACACGTGGCGAGAGCTGCTAGAAAGCCCAGTGAGTGTGACTCTAGTGGGTGACAGGGGTTCTCCCAACCACGCAGGGCTCCCAATTCCTCATTGTCACACACGAGTCCCTGCTGCGCGCGCTGCTCTGCACTACCCTGAATGGCAAGGCCCTGCCCGTGTCATTGCTGCTCCCTGCCCCTCTTTGCACGCAGGGCTCCCAGTTCTTCATTACCACACACGAGTCCCTGCGGCGTCTGTTTTTTGAGAGTTCTCAAAAACAGATTCACCACGCAGGACTCCCAAATCCTCGCATGTGTGTGTCACACACGAGTCCCTGCTGCGCTCGCTGCTCTGCGCTGCTGCAAGCTCATGACTGGCAAGGCCCTGCCTGTGTCATTGCTGCTCCCTGCCCTCCTCCCACTCAGGGCTCTCAAATCCTGGTCGTCACACACAAGTCCCTGCTTTGCCATGCCATCCACTCCCTCTATTTGTTCTCAAGCGGCTTCTGCCAATGCTCCCTGCCTGCTGCCACTCCTCCCTTCTCCCCTGCAGGGCTCTCAAATCCTGGTCGTCACACACAAGTCCCTCCTGAGAGCGCTGCTCTGCACTGCTCTTGGATTGGGTCCTGACAAGTAGGAAACTCTAATGTCTGCGAGTTCATGTTTTGTGCCTTTGAGGAGGGTTATGGGGTGTTGAGTAGGATGGGATTGAGGGTGTCACAAGAAGGTTTCGCTTCTGATCATGTTGCTCCCGGACCGTTCCGTCTAGGTGTTTCAAAGAACCCTCTGAGGCACCCTCGAGGTGTCTCAGAGTATGCACCACCCTGTCTTCCCTGTTCTCTTCTGCTGTCATACCCCTTCCTTCGCTCTCATCCCTCTTTACTTCGTTGATTTCTCTGTTCAAGATATTTCAGTTTCCTCACCACCACTCCTCCTCACTTTTTGTTACCCCGCTCTTATGTCACTGCTCTCATACCAGGTTCAGGGCAGTGGACATCAACAATGGAGGCATGTGTGTGGTGATGGTCAACAATAGAGGCGAGCCCATGGTTGAGAGTCTGAATGTCACGGCGCATCTACAGTCACATGCAATTAGTTACCACTTCAAGCAGTAGGGCCTGGATGATTTGAAGTGGGAAATTGGTTGCATGCGACTGATCACTGTTAGAGCTCATATACTTAGGGGTGATTTTTACATCGTGTCGTCCGATTTGTGGGTTGGGAGTTCGAAATCAAGCCGTCTGAGGGCGTATTCCTAGCTTCGGGTCATCCGTTGTTTGTGTCATCCGACAATTAAGGTAGCCAATCGGAAAACACGCGGTTCGAAATTTGAATTTTTCGATTGGATACCGCAAATTTCGGATGACATGAAGCCGGGATGACACAAGGCCAGGAATACGCCCTGAGCACCAGGGCCCACGTTATCAGGGCAAAACATCCTGATTACCCTGAATTCAGGATGCACTTCTGTATTTACCCTGCAATTTCAGAATAGTCATAATTTTAACCCTGAGGTCACAGGATGTTTTTATGTGAAATGCCCTGGAGTTTCAGGATGGCCGTAGTGTTCTTCCCTGTAGCGTCAGGATGAATGTTGAGGCCTGCCCTGACGCGGATTTTGGTGGGGGGGGGGGGGGGGGGGGGGGGGGGGGGGGGTAAGGGGGGGTGTTCCGTTTCGGGGGGAATTTTTTCCCCGAAATTTTTGTCTCCGTTGAAATTTTCCCCCGTGTACGTTTCCCGCCTTCGCACGTTCTCTTCCCCTTGACATTTCCGATCCCCCGCTACACCAGCCAAGCCAACCCCACCCCATCACCCACCGCCAAGGCAACTCGTCCTCTGCCTGGCTAGCTCTAGCTGGGTTTCTCACGCTGACGTTCAGTAGCACTCCATCCAACACCCTTGCAGTGTTGCTGTTAGAGTAGCAGCAGCACTAGTAGTAAAGTTCTGCTGCGGCTGCTCTGCTATGCTAAACAGAGTCTGGTCTGGTCTGTTTGTGATAAAATCAGAACCCTGAACACTACAATTTTTGCCCTGACAGGTCAGGATTATAATCTGCAAAAGCCCTGACCAATCAGGAAGGCTCAAAGATTTGCCCTGAGAAATCAGGGCATTTTTTTGGATTCTAGAAAAGTGCCCTGAGGGCTCAGGGTGTCCCAAAACCTAGCACGGGCCCTGCTGAGCACCGTAGACGGCCACTGTCCGACTCCGTGATGACACGAGGGGTACCGTTATGTCTTTCTGAGTAAAATTGACTTGTCGAATGTGCTTTTACCGGGGTTTGACTGTCGACGTCATCCTTGCGTGGCATCGTTATCGACGTGAGAAGAATTTCGCGTCCCTCGTGTGGGCAACAAGTTACCTCGACGAGCATCGCCAAACATTCGCGAGATTTTCAAACATCAACAACAAATCCCAAGGGGCTGCGTCTCTGGCTGCATCTCTTCGAACTTGCAAACCTGATAGTTGTTAGGGGAAAAAGCATCCCACTGGCCAACTGTTTGGATGATCACACTTGCATACCTGATAGTTGTTAGTCGTGGTCACAAAATTTTGCTCGAACATTAGAGCCCAGAAACGATCTAAACTGTAGGGAAAATTGCTGCTCGACGAGCCAATACTTAAGCATTATAGCGCGTATTTTTCGACGCCAAGGGCTTAATTCGAAAGGAACGTCCGTCGCACTTATCCGCTTACGTCCCGCACTTATTCGCTCATCTCCCTCCGTTGCGTCTTCCCATGGCGCATGCCGCTGCCGCCTCTGCCATCCGCTGTCGTGGCATTCCAGTTTTCACGGCAATTTCTAGGCCAGCTTCCAATCGAAGTCCAGCTGGCGTAACCAGAGCTGCAATCGGACTAGGCTCACGATTCGGTCTCATGCCGTACTACCGAAACCGCCACGTGTCACCCAGACAAGCGCGCGCCCCATTGGTAAAGAGGCATGGTAGGAGCGCGGAAGCCGTATCAGCAAGAGCAGCAGCCGGAGGAAGGGTGGAAGGGGGAGGAGGAGAAGGAGGTGGAGGAGGAGGAGAGGACGCAGGAGATGGGGTAGGGGAGGAGATTGATGGTGGGGAGGTGAAGCTAGGAGGGACGACAGCAGCGGGGGGCGAAGCAGCTGTGCTGGCTCGCCCACAGCATCGAGTAGAGGTCCGTTTGTCCCTCTGCACACTCCTTCCACCCGCCTCTCTCCTTTGAGTACAATTCTGTTTCCCGCAGCATCGAGTAGAGGTCCGTTTGTCCCTCCGCACCTCCCTGCTCTCTCGCTCACCCTCCCTCTCTTTTTCGTTTTCTTTCACCTACCTCACAACCTCCCTTTCTCTCAGCTGCTGCTACTGGCGCTGCTGACAGCATCCCTGGGAGTGCCCAACCGAGTGCTTTACAACAATCTTTCTTGCATGCTCCCTCACCTTACCTTACCCCACCCATTCTTTGTCCATCTCTCATGTGTGACCCCCCGACTATCCCACCAGCTGCTGCTAGCAGCACTGCTGGCAGTGTCCCTGGGAGTGGCCAACCGAGTGCTCCACAAGCTGAGCCGCACTCGACTATGTGTTTCCCTTTCTTCACCCCAACACCCCTGCCCTGCAACTTTCCCTCCTTTCCCTTCCCATCCACCAGCTGCTGCTAGCAGAACTGCTGGCAGTGTCCCTGGGAGTGGCCAACCGGGTGCTCTACAAGCTGGCGCTCCTGCTGCTCTCTTCTTTCCTCCTTTTCAATCCCTCACAACCTCCCTTTCTCTTTCCCATTTTCTCAGCTGCTGCTATTTGCACTGCTGACGGTATCCCTGGGAGTGGCCAACCGAGTGCTCTACAAGCTGGCGCTCATTCCTCGTCTTAACCCACACATCCTCTTCTCGTCTCTCCTTCTCCCTTGTCTATCTCACCCCTCCCTTCCAGCTGCTGCTATTCGCACTGCTGACGGTATCCCTGGGAGTGGCCAACCGGGTGCTCTACAAGCTGGCGCTCATTACTTTGCACCGCTACCCCTTCTTCCTCGCCCAGCTCACCACATTCGGGTAAGGTCAACTGTTGATCTTGTTATTTTATTCTGCTGGGCTCACTTGGACTCTAGACTAGAAGCACCCTGTCTGAACTGAAGCACCCTGCCTGGACTGAAGCACCCTGTCTGAACTGAAGCACCCTTCACCGCTACCCGTTCTTCCTCGCCCAGCTCACCACATTCGGGTAATTCTAACCGCTTTTAAAGGCTTTCTGTGGCTCAATGCATTGAAGCACCCCTTCAAACTCGCCTGCACCTCCCGTGCTGCTTCTCTCATCTCCCTTTACCTTCCCGCTTACCCGGACCTGCTGACCCTACGCCCCCCCCTCCTGTCTGCCCGTCCCGCTGTTTTCCTTCCAGCTAAGCTACGTGGCAGTCTATACTCATCCTCCTCGCCCGCACCTCCCTCGCTGTAGTCACACCCGACATGCTGTCTTTGTCCCTCCCGTGCTCCCCTTCCATTCCCCCTCCCAACTATGTAGCTGTCTATTCCATCATCCTACTCGCGCGCACCTCCCTCGCCGTGTTCCCCAACCTCTTCCCCCCAACAATTCCCTCTTTCCCTCCTCTTCACTCCCCGGTCTCCCCCCACTCCCCCTCTCCCCCTCCTCTTCCCCCCCCCAGCTATGTAGCTGCCTATTCAATCATCCTCCTCGCGCGCACCTCCCTTGCCTTGCCCCTTTTCTGATCTCTCGTTACCTTTTCCACTCCTCCCCCCTTCCCCCTCTTCCGCCTCTTTCCCTTTTCCAGCTATGTAGCAGTGTATTCAATCATCCTCCTCGCGCGCACCTCCCTCAAAATAGTCACGCCCGACATGCTCTCGCTGCCCAAGCGCCCCTTCATGTTCATGGGCTTGCTGGAAGCAGCGGGGCTTGCGACAGGGATGATGGCCGCTGGTAAGTGTGTTGGATACATGGCGTGCCATATTCTCTAACCCTAACCCTCATGCTCTCGCTGCCCCTTCTCTTGATGGCCGCTGGTACGTTAGTTGTGGTGCTGTGCTGTGCTGGTGCCCCCCTCATTCCCAACCCCGGACTGGGTGACAGGGTGAGGAGGGGAGGGTGAGGGTGAGGACTGGCAATCCCGTCTAAACCTTGCACGCTCACCCTCCTCTGCACTCTGTCACCCCTTGTCAAGGTTGGTTCTGAACCTTGCCGCTCCTCTGTACACTGCTTTCTTGGTTTGAAAAAGTCACTCATTCTGCTTCCCTGCCCTTCCCCCCCTCCCCTTGGCTGCTCCCCTATCCTCCCCATCTGCAGCGCACATGCCGGGAGTCCTCATTCCAGTGCTATCACAGGTATGCGATTTTTGAGAATTCTCAAAAACCTTTCCTTCCCTCTTGTTGCATGTGCCTTTTGAGCCGTCGCAAGCGTAGCAGCGCACATGCCAGGAGTCCTCATCCCAGTGCTCTCACAGGTACGCCCTTCCTCATCCCAGTTCTCTCACAGGTACGCCCTTCCTCATCCCAGTGCTCTCACAGGTACGCCCTTTTCTGCATGTGCCTTCCCCCATGTGCCTTCCCACATGTGCCTTCCCCTGTTGTGCCTTCCCCCATGTGCCTTCAACCACGTGCCTTCCCCCATGTGCCTTCCCCCATGCGCCCCACCGCTTTCCACCGCTTCTCCCCCCTCTTCTCTCTTCAGGTCTTCCTGGTGTGGCAGCTCACCCTCCCTTATGTCTTCGATCCTTTCTGCTGCTCTGCACCGCACACAACCTCTGTGTTTCCCTCTCCTCTCCTGTCCTCCTCACCAGGTCTTCTTGGTGTGGCAGCTCAACCACTCTTAATACTTCCATCCTTTCTGCCGTTCTGCACCGCACACAACCCCTTCAGATCTTTCTGGTGTGGCAGCTCACCCTCTCTTCTATCTTCCTCGGTCGCCGCTACTCGCCGCAGCAGCTTCTGGGATGCTTCCTCGTGATCGTGGGGGTTGCAGTGGTGGTGGTAACCAGGTACTGCCAGCACATGGGATGGCACGTCAAGCCATGCCACGTCATGCCACATCATGTGACGTCATGCCACATCATGACACGTCATGCCACGTCATGTCATGCCACATCATGTGGCGCAACGTTGTGCCACGCCATCTGGCATGCATGCCACATGCCTCGTCCTGTCGTGTTTTTGAGACGTCTCAAAAACAACCTCATTTCACGTGGCATGCCACATGCCTCGTCCTGTCGTGCCACTCATGCCATGATGTCCATACCATTCCATTTCATCGCATGACATGGCATGGCATGCCATGGTGCCATCATGGTGATGTCGATACTATGTCATTTCAATTCTCATCTGGTGGAATAGTTAATCACCCTCCTCCCATTCTTCTTTCCCCCCCTTCCCTCCCACTCTCCCATCTCCACCGCGCTGCACCGCAGTGGACCACCATTGCATCATGTATCCACACTATTGTCTTCTTTGTTAACAGCAACAGCAATCCAGTGGCCCCTCCTCTTTATAGTATCCACTGTGTTTCCAGCAGCATCCTCTATTATTAAGGTGAGACTCTTTCCCCACGCCATAGTCTGCTGTATCCTCGTTATTAGCTTCTCAGCTAGCAGCAACAGCAATCCAGTGGCCCCTCCTCTTTATAGGATCCACTGTGTTCCCAGCAGCATCCTCTATTCTTGAGGTGAAACTCTTTTCCACTGCAAGTCATATTTCAAAAAAATGGCATTTTCCGTTGCCTCTTTACTGATTGCGTTCCCCATTAATATCCCCCCCAGCATTATCACTAGCAAAATCTCATGTTTGGCCGCGTTTTTTGGGGCTGGAACGACTAAAAAAAAAAAACCGCAGCACAAATCTTTTTTGTTGTCCCCTGTTCTGCTCAGCTCAATTATACCATTCTATTCCATCTTGTTTTCTTGTTTTGCTTCTAATCCCCAGGAGTCTGTATTTAGAGATTCAGCCAAGAAGCTCAATGTAAGCCTTACCACCAACCGCCCTCAGTTAAAGCCTCAGTTAAAGCTCATATTTTACTAGGCACCTCAAAAGCAAGCCAGGGTTTTGGGTCAAGTAATTCAAGCACATGACATCCAAGCAACACACGAATACGCATACGCTTATTAGTAGCACTGCACATGTACATTGGGTGGTGCGTGCGCACACTAGGTACGCACTTTGCATGTCACATCTTGCTTGTTCCATACCAAGCCTTCTCACCCCATCCTGTTCCACCTTCCCATCTTCTCATCTTCTCAACACCACATCCCACCTCACCGCACCCCACCACACTGCACCAAACCACACCACAGGGTCGCTCACTGGACATATTTGTTGTCAACACCTTCGGATCATCTTTCCAGGTGCTCCCTCCTCTGCCCTTCGTTTTGTAGCATTCCCCCCTTGTACCTTTCAAATCCCTTGCTTCCCATTCCTTTCCCCGTCCCTTAATTTCCCCTTTTCCCCTTCATTTCCCTTTTTCCCCTTCATTTCCCCTTTTCCCCTTCATTTTCCCCCGTTCCCCTACATTTCTTCCTTTCCTGAAATTTCCCCTGTTCCCCTTCATTTCCCCCTTTCCCCTCCATTTCCCCTTTCCCCTTCATTTTCCCCCTTTCCCCTCCATTTCCCCTTTCCCCTTCATTTTCCCCCTTTCCCCTCCATTTCCCCTTTCCCCTTCATTTTCCCCCCTTCCTCCTCACCACAGGCCTTTTTTGTCCTCATCCTCCTCCTGCTCATCTCCTCTCTGGGTACAAAATTCCTCTCTATTTTAGAGGCTCCTCGTTGGCACGCCCACTTCCCCCCCACGCCTTTCCCCCCCCTCCCACTTCCACAGGCGTTTTTTGTCCTCATCCTCCTGCCTCTAACTTTCAAGCCGACTCAAAAGTCGTCGTCCCTGCCCCGCCCTTCCACCACAGACGCTTTTTTGTCCTCATCCTGCTGCCGCTCATCTCCTCTCTGGGGACATAGTTCCTCTCTGCTTTAAAGACGCCTCATAGGGACACACACCCCCCTCCCTGCCTCCCCCCACTCCCCCCATCACAGGCGCTTTTCATCCTCATCCTGCTGCCGCTCATCTCCTCTCTGGGGTACAGAATCCCTCCTGCGCAGCTTCCAGGCTACTTCCGGGAAGGTGCTGCGTGCCTTCTTAACTTCAACCAGAACATTCCAGGTGCGTTGTCAGCCGGTACTGAATGGGTAATAAGTGCTTTTCTTGTGTTACTGCTCTTCACCCCACCTTTCCATGCTGTTAAGGAGTCCAACTCCTCCCATTGCTTCACGTCACAGCCATTCCGTCTCTCTTTAATTAGAATAATAATAGTAAAAAAAAATCACTCTTCCCACTGCTTTACGCCACAGCCATTCCTGCTTTCTTTTTTGAGAATTCTCAAAAAACACTCCTCCCACTACTTTACGTCACAGCCATTCCGTCTCTCTTTTCTGAGAATTCTCAAAAGACACTCCTCCCCATCTTCTCCCTTTCGCTTCTCCCCAACTCCACCTTGCCAGGTTGTCAGGGAGCGCCGCTCCTCCCGCTGCTCTATGTTGCAACGAATCTTGCCTTCAACATCTCGCTGCTGGCTCTTCTCAAGAAGTCGTCTGCAGTAGTCGCATCTCTCTCCATGACCCTCACAGGTATTAATGTGTGAATTACATGCTGACAGTGCTCGCATTCAACGTCTCTCGAGGTGACTTTTGAGTCGACTCAAAAGTCACCTCGTTACATGCTGACAGTGCTCGCACTCAACGTCTCTCTGCTCGCTCTGCTCTCCACCCCCCCTGTAGTCATCTGTAGTGGTCGCATCTCTATCCTTGACTCTTGCAGGTAATTATTGTGGAGTATGTATGCACAGGATTTATACATAGTTATGCACACATGCACACCGTTACTGCTGGGATAGCTGCTAACACCCCCTTGAAATCTCCTCCTGCCCTCTCCATTCTGACTTTTGAGTCAGACACAAAAGTCATATGCACGCCACTGCTGCTGGGATAGCTGCAAACACCTTCTTGATCTCTCCTCCCTTCCTCTCTCTTCTTGTTTGAAGTAGTGTTTTGAGACGCCTCATAACTCTACTTCAAACACATGGGATAGCTGCTAACACCCTCTTGATCTCTCCTCCCTTCCTCTCTCTTCTTCCTCCCACACCCCCAGTGCCCCTGACAGTACTGGCATTCACCTTCCCCCTTCCCCTGCTGGGCCCACCCCAGCCACTGAGGGGGGGCGTTATTCTTGGAACCTTCGTGCTGCTTCTGGGCCTTGCTGCTTACAACCTCGCCAAGCGTGGAAGCACGGGTGAGGGAGCAGGAGGGGGGTTGAAGTTGGCAGCAGGGAAGGAAGACATGGGAAGGAAGAGCAGAAGGATGAGGAGGGGAGGAAGGAAAGCTGGTCTTAGAGCCAGCTTGAGGAGGGGAGGAGACATGGCTGCTTGGGGGGCAGGGAAAGGGGGGGAAGGGGAGCGAGAAGAGAGCTGAAGGAGGCAAAAAGTGGGCAGATTGGAGAGGAGAGAGGAGGAAGCAGGTGAGGAGGACCGCCGGAGTAAAGCCATTGTGATGCTGCTGGGCTGGCTGCTTACATCCTTGCCCAGCCCGGGGGCACAGGCGGAGGGGGAGAGGGGTTGAGGGTGGCAGGAGGTCAGGAGGAAGAATGGAGGCGATGTTCATGGGGTGAGTTTGTTGCATCGAGCTGAAGTTATGCTGCTTTTTTCCGAGCGACTAGTGGTTTAGAGCAAAATAAGTATATTATATGTAACACATGAAAGTTTACCAATCCCATTTTGAGTAGTATTATACAAATATATAAACGCACGCACGAGCGCACATGTGTGCAATGCACGGTTCAATGCTTAGGGCTTGTGTAGGCAATGGAGTTAGGTGGTGGGCAGGGTCTGCTTCATTTTATTATGGCTGTACAAGGGAAAGAAACAGATTGTAACTGAACGAAGATCCTTGTGTCGAGTGCGAAACGAACCTTCTTCCGTGCTTCTTTCTTCCGTATCGCAGCGCAGCTGCGCAGCTCTCATCTGGGGCGGGGAAGCTTGAAGGCGCTGCTTTCTATTGGCTTACGCAGACAGCTGCGATTTCCAGAGAATGTCGTCCACGCGACTGACAAACCAGATCGCCGAATCGGAACCGCAGACCTGCAAATTCGGTCAATGCCAGGCAGCAGGCTCATGCGACTGACTCCTTTTCGCGTGCGAGTCAGCAACCCAGGAGGCAGTCGCATGACACGATCCGCTCTGTTGGCGTTTCCACAGAGCGCGGTCCGTGCCCCCCACATCGAGTCGCGTGCGCTTCGATGTCTGTCATGTATGTTTCCATCACTCTCTCACACATTCGCTGAAGCCAAATTTCCTTCCGTCAGATTTCGACCTTTATACATCGGTCGCAGATTTGCGTACGAAACGCAATTCCTTAGTTCCGAATTGAGAGCTTCACCCAACAAAGCTCACTTCGTCTAGTTCTAAGGACTATCGAACTGTTCTTCCAGCAAGCAAATAGCCATGCGGCAATTTTCCCTCAGGAGCGCCAGCTCGGCGCTCCTTTCGCTGACCGTCGCAGCCTTCGTCGCAGCGCTCGTGACGACGTCGCATGCGCGCGTCTTGGACTTTGGCGACAATAAGCTCTTCCTGGAGCAATTCAGCACCATGATCAGAATCGACACAAGACCCGCCATTCGCGCCGCCAGCGCGGCTAACTGCCAGCCGTCAACTCTGCCGGACTTCGCATCCGCTGCGACTCTTTCCCACGGCCTCGTTCTTCACTGGACGCCCGCGGCTTCCGGCGGTTCCGTCAGCATGGCCGTCGAAGCGCCCGCGAGCGCCGGATGGATTTCCGTCGGATTCTCGACAAGCGGAACCATGGCTCCGGCAGATGCGGTGATCGGCAATGCTGACGGCGGCGCTGCCGTCCAGGCGTACAGTATAACCGGCTACGACATGGGCTCCGTCAAGCCGAGCGGCAAGCCGTCATTGGGCAGCGCGGGGCTGACGAAATCAGGCGACAAAATCATTATGAAATTCTCGCGATCGGAGGGCGACGGCGGATCTGTCGCATTCAAGTCGTCCGGGAGGAACAAGCTGATCTGGGCGACGTCGTCTGGCGGCTCTACGACGCTCGGCTATCACGGCAGCAACCTGTAAGCTCCTTCCGCAAGCCGTGTATGTGGTTTTCATGCATAACTAACCCAGCCCCGAAAGAGTAAAGAAAAATACTTTTACGTCGGCAATATAATTTGGGAGGGGTTTTTATCTTTGGCCCTGTAATAACAAAGCGAACTCAAGACCCAGCTCTCTTGCTGTTCTTATTAATCACTCTTCCACATATTCCCTATTTCTCCGAACCAGTGGCGCCGGCGAAATCGATTTCTCCTGCAATGGCGGTGGCGGAGGCGGAAGCAGCGGCTCTGGCAGCGGAAGCGGAAGCGGAAGCGGAAGTGGAAGCGGAAGCGGAAGCAAAGGCAGCTCTGTCGATAGCGGAAGCGGAAGCGGAAGCAGCGGATCTTCCAGCCCGCCAAAGTCTCCCCCAGCCAGCCCCCCGCCCGCCAAATCCCCCCCTCCTAGCCCGCCAAATGACAATCCTCCCGCCTCTTCGTCCCCTTCCCCCCCTCCTCCTCCTCCTCCTCCTCCTCTTCCTCCTCTTCTTCCTCCTCTTCTGACTCCTCGTCTAACTGGTGGGACGCCTATACCTCTTCGTCTTCCTCTTCCCCCTCGGGTTCCTCCTCTTCCCCTTCAGGTTCGTCCTCCTCCCCCTCTGACTCCTCCTCTTCCTCCTCTTCCTCCTCTTCCCCCTCTTCCTCCTCTTCCCCCTCTTCAACCTCTTCCTCCTCTTCCTCCTCCTCCTCCTCTTCTTCCTCCTCTTCCTCCCCTTCGTCCTCCGACTCTTCTTCTTCCTCTTCCTCCTCGTCTCCCTCTTCCTCCTCTTCCCCATCCTACCAAGACTATCAATCCTCCCCTCCCTGGTGGACTGCCTATGCCAAACCCTCCCCTCCCCCCTCCTCCTCCTCGCCCTCTTCCCCCGATTCCTCCTCGTCTGGCAAATCGTCAGATTCGATTGCATCAACTCAGAGCGCAGACAGCAGCAGCAGCGCCGACAGCAGCAGCAGCATCAGCAGCACGGACAGCAACAGCGGCTCCGGAGGCGGAAGCTCGGGGGGAGACAGCGGCAGCAGCAAGAAACACAGCAGCGGCGGCATCAGCGGCGGCATCAGCGGCGGCATCAGCGGCGGCGGTAGCAGCTCCGATCAATCCACTTCCTCCTCGCCCTCGTTTTCCTCCTCAACTGCTGCTTCCTCCGGTTCTGCCTGCCCCTCATCAAGCCTGGCGGGATACACCTACTCCACGCCACTCAAGGGCTCAGAGTAAGCACTCACTAGCTTTTCCTTTTCCATGGATTTTAGCAGCTCTTCTAGTTCCTACACAACTTGAATCCTTTTCTTGGCCTGATTTGTGCTTCTGTGTTGTCATCCCATCGTCCCCACCTTCTTACTAGGTTCTTTTTTTTCTCTTCCCGAATTTTCTTTTTATCCCCTATTTCCCCCCTTTCCAGTTTCATCCTGCACTGGGCCGCCCCGTCCAACGGGCAGCTTGATATGGCCATGGAAGCGAAATCGGGCAGCGGCGCGGCGAAGGGATGGATGTCCGTCGCATGGTCGGCCAACGGAGGGATGGCGGAGAGCACAGCCGTCATCGGCAACATGGACGGCGGGAACGTTGCTGGTTACCACATTACCGGTTACACCATGGGCACGGTGAAGAAGAACGGGATGGACATTGGCGGAGACGCGGGGACGAGCAACGAGGGCGGGTCGACCGTTGTGAAGTTCCTGCGACGCGAGAGCGACGGCGGGGAGGTGAAGATTAATCTGAGCGGGAAGAATAAGCTCGTGTGGGCCTACTCGACGGGTTCCAAGTCGCTGGGCTACCATGGCGGCAACTTGTAAGGCTTCTCTTTTAGTCTCTCTTCCGCTCTCCTCTCTTCTCCCCTCCCGCTCTCTGCCTGCTCTTGCCCCTGCCCCGCTCTCTTTCCTCCCATTCCAGCGGACTCGCTGTATTTTTCTCCTGCCCCTGTCCTCTTTCCCCCTATTTCACTCACCTTTCCCCCGATACCCCCCTCTTGCGCTTGCCCCTCCCCCTCCCCTCCCCCGTTCCAGTGGGAGCCTCACGGTCGACTTCTCCTGCCAGTCCGCGCCTGGTGCGGGTAGTGGTGGGGGCGGAGAGGGGGAAGAAGGGGAAGGAGGGGAAGGGGGAGAGGGAGGGGAAGGAGGGGAAGGGGGAGAGGGAGGGGAAGGTGGGGAAGGAGGGGAGGGTGAGGGGGGGGGCGAAGCGGGAGGTGGTGGGGGCGGAGAGGGCGAGAGCGGCGGCAGCAAGGGGGGCGAGAGCGGCGGCAACAATGGGGGCGAGAGCGGTGGCAGCAGCGGTGGGGGCGAGAGCAGTGGAGGCGAGAGCGGTGGGGGCGAGAGCGGTGGGGGCGAGAGCAGTGGCGGGAGTGGTGGGAGCAGCGGTGGTGAGGGCGGTGAGGGCGGTGAGGGTGGAGGTGGAGGGGACGGAGAAGGTGAGGGTGAGGAGGAAGGAGACGATTGAGGAGCATTCATGGGTGTGCTAGTTGTGCAAATTATGCACATTGTACTGTAGTGAATCTGGGTATATCTAGCTGGTTTGTCTAGGTTATGGATGCAACAATATTGAGGAATATGGGTCTATATAGCTGGTTTTGTCTAGGTTGTGTTTAGAGCATCATGCAATACAAAAGGTTGTGGATCAAACATCAAGATTGGGGTGGCCAAACATCACAAACATTCACTAATAAGGGGTTGAGATGTCCCTTAGTCTTCAGGGTTTGAACTAGACCTTCTCCCTATCTCCAACTAAATTTCTTAGGTATTAGTCAGTGTGTCGTGTTCTTGTCCCCTTCATTGCCATTATCTCACGAATGAGCGGACAAGCCCAAGACCCCGAGTCAACAGCACACAACAGGATGTACAGTGCAGGGGGTCATTGGGGTGGCGTGTGGAAACCTTGTGCGTTGAATATCCAGCGTGGACGAATGCTATTGGACCGCACAATCGAATTTCCGTTTTCCACCCTTGGAGAACGAGAAATACAACTTTTCCTATCAACTTGGTGATTGTTCGAGTGGTCGGTCGGGGTTGAAACTTCTGTCCGTGTTCCTCGAAAGGTGCTGAAGACCAGCGAGTGATGCAGGCGAAGTGCGTTCTGCCCGCAGGCGTATAGTCTGACCGTCGGGAAAAGCAGCCGGTCCGACTAAATCCCCTGAGATGTACCTCCGACTAAAAACTCTTATATCAGGGCTAGGACGCGAAACAAACTGCCTCGAGAAATATGTTTCCTTTTCCAACCCTGCAGTGTTTCAAGCTAAAAGTGTTGTCCCGCTGGAACTTAGATTATGCTTAGCAAAGCAAACTCCGTGCAAGCATCTCCGCAACTACTCTTCTTTCGAGCTTGCTGCGTCATTCACGCACCTGGTACAGTGGTGATATCCTCAACTCCCAATCAGCCCGACGATTCCGCCCTCCTGAAAGCGCGACTCCGCACTCCCTGCGACACCTGACGCGTCGCAGAATCTCCACATCGTCCAGCGACTGCAATCCTCATGGCACGTCAGCTTCCGCTGGTGCTGGGCTTGTTGCAGACAAATGATCTGACGACTCGTCAGTAAGCTTCGTTGACCGACATCTCTGCGAGACTTCCGATGTGTGCGACTCTCGGCTCGGTTTTGACCTCTCTCTCTCTCTTCTCTCTCTCTCTCTCTCTCTCTCTCTCTCTCTCTCTCTCTCTCTCTCTCTCTCTCTCTCTCTCTCTCTCTCTCTCTCTCTCTCTCTCTCTCTCTCTCTCTCTCTCTCTCTCTCTCTCTCTCTCTCTCTCTCTCTCTCTCTCTCTCTCTCTCTCTCTCTCTCTCTCTCTCTCTCTCTCTCTCTCTCTCTCTCTCTCTCTCTCTCTCTCTCTCTCTCTCCGTTCCGCGGAAGACCCAATTCCGGCAGAAACACGCGCGGTAGCGCGTCGCAACCACGCGCAAACCAACCGCCATTGATTGTTGACCGTCCCTGCCAGCGCCCCGCCAGCTATGTACTTATCACCGCTGGACGTGTACGCCAATCCGATTTCCGCAATTCCGTTGCAGCCACACAATCTTGCGCCAATTTCTCCGCCAGATATTTGCCAGCCCGAATCACATTTCCGCGTCAATCTTCCGATGGAAGCTGGAGCTTTCGGCTGCCTGAACAACCCATCGTCACCTCACAACACCGAAACGTCCTCATCTTTTTTTTTTTGCGATGTTACACTATGAGAAATGTACAACGCATTGGCAGTCGTAACTGTATCTTAGGGAAGTGTCACGGTACCGGGTAACGCGGATTCCCTGTGATACATCTACGGTGGCTGGTGGGTCAGCTTCGGATTGTCCCAAACGTCCTCATCTTGTCGACGCGGCTCGCCAGTTGCAGAACCTGGCCACCGCCACCAGAATCGAGTGGAGGGGAAAGCGTCCCACGAAGCGGCTCGTGGCCGCTTGGAGTTTCCGCCCAGTTTCCGCCCATGTATCACAGATTCGCCGATTCACCACAGAAAAACGTCTCCTCCTTCCCCGCGCACCGCTTCAACAACAACACCTCCTCCCCCCACCGGTCGCGCTGACTCACTCTCGCTCCCCACCACTCCCGTCCCGTCACCCCTCCCCCTTCCCCATCCCCTTCATTCCCCGGGGATGTTCACCCTCCCTCGTTTCCGCGCCAACCCCGCGCAAACTTCCTCCCCCTTCCCCACCCCAGCCAGAGAATAAATTTCCGACGCCGCCCTCCAACACTCTCGTGTTGCAAACAAGAAGCAAACAAACCATTTTGACAGAAGCAAGCAAGCAGCACGAGCCCACAGGAGAAGCGCTTCAGCTCTCCTATCCCTGAGTGCTTCCCCTCGCACTCACCGCCAACCTAAACCACACGATCTGCTCCATCTCCCATCGCCTCTCCCCCACCTGGCCTTATCACAGAAAGCCGTTTCGCCATCTCTCGGAGATTAATATTCGCCTTCTACCGCCTATCTTACCTCGCCTCCGCCTCACTTCGCATCTGTTCGCCATCATATTTCCTCGAGAATGGGTAACTCCAGATATCACAGGCGGTTCGAGGTGCTCGTGCCACTTGTCGCGCTCTGGTTGGTCATCTGCGCGCTGCCGTCCGCGCGTAGCGAAGAGGACGACGAGGGTGCTAACGCTGTAACCGGCGTATGCGAGGTGTCGAATCTCGCCGGCTACAAATACGCCGTCGACCTTAGCGGCAACGGGTAGGTCAACGGACGGCAGCAGCGATTGCAACGATTACAGACGGCAGCTGTTCGAGACGGCCGGCAGCTTTTATTGACGGCAACGGGATGGTCAAATAACGTTGTCAATGGCACCCCGCCCATCTCTCCCCTCTTCCCCTCCCGCTCCCCCAACAGTCTCTACCTACACTGGGCTCCTAAAGGCACGACCGAAATGGACTTCGCGATCGAGGCGCGTCCCGGCAGCGGCGCGGAGTCCACGTGGGTGTCCGTTGGCTGGTCGGCTGGTCGAATGGCTCCCGCCGACGCGGTCATGGGGAACCTTGCCGGAAACAAGGTCGCGGCGTACTCGATACAAGGCTACGACATGGGGTCCCTCTCGCCGACGACGGCGTTTGCGTTGGCGTCGACGGCGGTCCTGACCAGCAATGGCGGCAGCACGGTTTCCAAGTTCACTCGCACGATCGGCGACGGGGATTTTCCCGTGGCGCCCGACCAGAACACGCTTATTTGGGCGTTTTCCGGCAGCGGCTCGCAGGGGCTGGATTACCACGGCGGGAACGTGTGAGTGCGCGAACGCTGCAACATACGCATTGCAGGCAGCCATGACACGCGAGAGCTTCCTCTGGGAAGCTCTTGCAGAATACGCCGTTTTTTTTTTTTTTTTTTTTTTTTTTGGGCTTCTGCGGATCTCGTTACTGACTCTTACTGCCTCTCGTTTCATCGTCTCTTTCATCCGTCGATCCCGCGCAGCGGCATCGTGAACATTGACTTCACCTGCGCTAGCGGTGCCGCGCCCGCGACGGGAGCACCAGACTCCATCAGCGGCGGCGGCAGTGGCAGCAGCTCCGGTTCCAGCAGCGGCGGCGGCGGCGGCGGCGCTTCGTGCCCGGCTTCCTCGCTGACGGGATTCGACTATCAGGCGGAACTCACCCCAGGGTACGCGCTTCGTGCCCGGCTCCCGCACGGTGCAAACTCGCTTGTGATAAGTCGAGTTTTGAGTCGACTCGAAACTCTCCTTTTTTCTGCGCTTACACTCGCTCGCACCTTACACCCTTCCCATCCCGCCCGCATCGCAATGCGTCCCCTTCATTCTTCCGCCGACGGCCTTCTCCTCCGCTTGATGCAAGTCTCCGCTGCTTCCCTCTTCCGCCACTCACACGTTTCCCCCTTCCCCCCTTTCCGCCAACAGCCTGCTCCTCCATTGGAAGCAAGCTTCCTCCAAGTCGCTCGACATGGCTCTCGAAGCCACCGCATCCGGCGGCGCCGCGGGCTCGTGGGTCTCCGTCGCGTGGACGGGCGACGGCCGCATGGTCCCGTCCGACGCGGTCATCGGGAACCTCCCGGGCGGCGCGGCCGGCGCGTACGCGATCTCGGGATATGACGTGGCATCCGTCTCGAAGACGTCGACGTTTTCCGTCGGCGCGGCGTCGACGGAGACGTCGAGCGGCGGAAGCGCGATCGTGAAGTTTACGCGGATGGAGGGGGAGGGGTCGATCCCGATGTCGCTTTCCGCGCCGAACGCGCTGATCTGGGCTTATTCCGGGAGCAGATCTCAGTCGTTGGATTACCACGGCAGTAACTAGTAAGCGGGGGCTGGGGTTGGTTTCTGCTGTATTCGTTGTTTGGATTCGATTCCGATGTCGCTTTCCGCGCCGAACGCGCTGATCTGGGCGTATTCGGGGAGCGGATCGCAGGCGTTGGATTAGCACGGCAGCAACAAGTACGTGCGGGTTGGGGTTGGGTTTCCTTGTACGCGTTTTGAAGTGCTTCGACTCTGTTCCCTAGGTCTTACATACATTTGAATTTGTTTGAGTCGTTGGAGTGGTGGTCAGATGGAATTTCCTCGGTTGCCCCAACTCTGCTCTCTCCGCCTCACTAACCCTCGTTTTCCCCTCTTCGCAAAACGTTGTACCCCTTTCCCCTGATCTTTGCAGCGGTTCTAAAACTGTGAGCTTCAACTGTGGCGGCAGCAGCACCACCCCCACCACTCCCACCACTCCCGCCACTCCTTCCCCCGCAGTCCCCTCGCCCTCTCCCCCCGCCACCACCCCCGCTCCGCCCACCACCTCCCCCTCCTCACCTGGCTCCAGCAGCAGCAGCAGCAGCAGCGGCAGCGCATGCACGCCTTCTACTCTAGCTGGCTATACCTGCTCCGAGAAACTGAGCGGAAATGAGTAAGTGATGGTTCTTTTGTTACAGTTCAGACTGCCTCGCAATCACTCTCCCCTCTTCCCCCACCCTCTCTTTCTCTTGCTCACTCGCTCTCATTCACTCGCTCGCTCGGTGACTCACTCACTCACTCACTCGCCCTCTCATTCACCTTCATTTCACCCCTCCCCCCTCGCAGCTTCGTCCTGCACTGGAAGACCAACGTTGACTCCATTGACCTGGCCTGCGAGGTGGCAACCACCGGGTGGGTTTCCCACACGCACTCAGTCTCTCTCCCTCTGACCCTCTCCTCCCCCGTCCCCCTCCCCCTCTCCAGCTTCGTCCTGCACTGGAAGACCAACGTTGACTCCATTGACCTGGCATGCGAGGTGGCAACCACCGGGTGGGTCTCTGTCGGGTGGAGCGCAGACGGCAAGATGTACCCTCAGATGCCGTCATCGGCAACCTTGCCTCCTCCACCACCAAGCGCGCCGCAGCCACCGGCAGTGCTACAGGCGGTGGTGCTACAGTCGCCGCCTATAGCATTGCTGGTTACTCCGAGTCGGATGTAGCTCCGGCAACGGCGGCCCTCCCGCTGGCCGCTACAGCCGTGGAGACCTCGTCCAATGGGAAGACGGTGGTGAAATTCTCGCGTGTGCTCATGGGCGGGAAGTTCCCGATCGACACGAGCGCGCCGACGAATCTTATCTGGGCGTACTCCGCTGATGGGTCCAAAAAACTGGCCAATCACGGCGGCAATCGGTAAGCTCCTTTGTTCCTGTTATTCTCATGGCTTCATCTTCTCTTCTCTCTTCTGCACTTCTCTCCATGGAATCTTTTCTCTTGCTACTTAATGCTCATCTTCCTCTGTTCCTTGACCTCTTCTCCCCCTCCTTCCTCCCCTCTCCTTTTCCTCTCCCTGTACTGCCTCTTGTTCCTCTCCACAGCGGTTCTGCGGGCAATTAGTTTTGCTGCAAGTGCTGCCTCAGGCTCGGGATCCGGCTCGGCATCGGGCTCGGGATCAGGCTCGGGATCAGGCTCGCCGGCCCCTCCCACCACGCCTCCTACTGATTCGTCCTCTGGCAGTGGCAGCAACAGCAGCAGCAGCAGCAGCAGCAGCAACAGCACTGGAAGCAGCAGCAGTTGCACACCTTCCACCATCGCTGGTTACACCTGCTCCGCTCAGCTCGACGGGAGCAAGTAAGAAGCCCACCATTACCACCTGTGTGTCTCACTAGTCCTTGTCAATTTGGGGGGTTGCTGGTCGTGCTTGGTCCTGTGGTTCAATTATCCCATGGGTGTCCTCTCTGTCCATTCCTTCTCATTCCTCGCTTCTCTCCTCTCCCCGTTTTCTCTCCTCCCTCTTTGTAGCTACGTTCTGCACTGGAATGCCACCGGGGATAACATTGCCTTTGCCTGTGAGCTGGCAACCACCGGGTGGGTCTCTCCCACTCACTCTCACTCACCTTCTCTCCTCCCATCTCCCTTCCCCCCCTTGCAGTTACGTTCTGCACTGGAATGCCACCGGGGACAACATCGCCTTTGCTGCGGTAGCAACCGCCGGGTGGGTCTCCCTGGGGTGGAGCGCAGACGGCAAGATGTACCCCGCTGAGGCTGTCATTGGCAACCTCCCTGCCACCTCCACCTCTGCAAATTCGGGCGGCGCTACAGTGTCGAGCTACAGCATTGCCGGCTACAGTGAGACTGACGTCACTCCGACGGCTGCGACGGGTATTGCGCTGGCCGCTACAGCCGTGGATTCGTCGGCCAATGGGAAGACAGTGGTGAAGTTTACGCGCGCGACGAGCCAGGGGAAGTTTCGATCAGTGCGACTGGGCCGACCAAGGTCATCTGGGCTTACTCGGCTGACGGGTCCAAGCCTCTGGCCAATCACGGTCCTAACCGGTACATCTCGAGAAACTCTTTCCATTGTTTTCCACAATATCAATTAACGGGACAGAAGGTTTGATCTCGGAATTGTCACAGGCACTAACCCTGTGTCCCCCCCCTCGCATCCCTCCCATCCCCATCCTTCTCTATCCTTGCAGCGGTTCTGCCACCATCAACTTTGTCTCCGGTGCCACGGATACAGGCTCGGGATCAGGCTCGGGATCAGGTTCGGGTTCAACTGGGGCAGTCAACCCGGGCCAGGATAGTTCCAAGGCCAGCAACAGCACCAGCACCAGCAGCGGCGGCGGTGGCAACGGTTGCACACCCTCCACCATTGCTGGTTACACCTGCTCGGCTCAGCTCAGTGGCGACAAGTACGTTTCTTGCCTTCCATGGTCCTCTTTTTTTGGCACCTCCGAAGTGCACATCCCCTCAACCATTGCTGTTTGCACGTGCTCGGCTCAGCTCAGTGGGGACGAGCACGTTTCCCATTGCTGCTGCTTACGCTGGCATTCTTTTTTCTTTTCTTCTCTCTTTTCTTTTTGAAAGTTGGTATCTCATTTTGTTGTATCTCTCCCTCTCTTCCAACTCATTCTCCCCATTCCCTCATTTGCAGGTACATTCTTCACTGGAAGGCCAACACGACGACAATCAGCTTTGCTGCTGAGGTGGCAACCTCCGGTTGGGTGTCCCTCGGGTGGAACAGCAACGGCAAGATGCAGCCGGCCGACGCAGCCATTGGCAACCAGCCAGCTGGCAGCAACAGTGCAGCTGTCGCGCCGTACAGCATCACGGGATACAGTGGGTCAGACATCTCTGCCACGTCAGCATTCGCCCTGTCCGGGACCACAGTGGAGTCGGCAGCCAATGGGAAGACGGTTGTGAAGTTCACCCGGCCAATGGCGGGAGGATCGTACCCGATCAACACCAACGGCCCTACCACGATCATCTGGGCTTACTCTGCTGATGGCTCTCAGACTCTCGCCAACCATGGTCCCAACTGGTGAGCTGTCCTTGTTACCTGAATACACCTTGCTTCATGTTTGATGGCTGATGCCTGATGCTGGATGTCTCCTGCCTTGTGTCCCTCGTGCCTCTGCCTCTATGTTTCATGTCCTGTGCATCAGCATGCATGTCCCATCCCATGTGCCTCATTCCATCGTTCCTCATTCCGTTCCTCGTTCCATTTCTCATTCCTCTTCCCCCTCTCCCGCTTAGCGGATCGGCTCAAATCGACTTCATCTCCGGATCAGCCGTCTCTACCTCCTCTTCGTCATCCTCCGTGGCTTTCATCATCCACGGATGGCTGCTTGGCATCGCGTTCGGCATCCTCATGCCCGCGGCTATTCTCATCTCGCGAATCTTCCTCGCCGATAAGCTCCAGGAAAAGCCGCCTGGCGTGGACCCCATCCAATGGGAGGCGCAGGTTGCGCGCGCGAAATCCTGGAAGCCTATGGCGTTCGAGACGCACAAGTGGATGCAGATCACAGCGGTTGTGCTCGCTATTGTGGGGTGCATAATCGGAATGGTGGAATCCGGCTCGGTGGGTCTCAAGGGTACCCACGGCCAGCTCGGAATCGCAATCTTCGTGATGATTTTCATCCAGCCTGTGATTGGTCATTCCGGCCAAACAAGGGTACAGTGAATCGGCCGACGTGGTTCATCATCCACTGGGTGTTTGGCCTCGTTATAGTTGGACTCGCTTGGGTGAACACCTTCCTTGGGTTTGACGCAATGACGGTTAAGTTCGCCTCCGACATGCAAGTGTATTTCATCATTTTCGCGATTGCGATCGGGCTGTTTGCGGCGATCTACGTGGTGATCTTCGTGGTGGATCAGGTGGCGTTCATCATTGCAAGATTGAGACCTGCAGCGGATGAAGGACGGGAAAAGATGTCGTTCCAGGTGTAAATGGTGGACCGGGAAGCTGGATCATGGGTGATGGTGTATGTGGTCATCTTACTGGTGGATCAGGTGGCGTTCACTTTGACAAGAATGAGACCTGCAGCAGATGAAGGAAGGGCGAAGTTTGTTGACAAAGTGTAAATTGTGATATGTAATACTGGTATAGCCAACGTGCTGGCTCATGGATGCTTTGACCCTGCTCTTGTACACTCCTAACCATGCAGTTGTGTGTTTGTGAACTTCTTTTATGCTTATTTGGTGCTTTATACAATTGTTTAGGTCCATGGCTGATATGGTTGACAGCAACACTGACAGAGGCTTGATCCACTAACAACTTGGATGCCTACACAGTCTCACACTGACAGAGGCTTGATCCACAGTTAACAACTTGGATGCCTACACAGTCTCATGTTAAAAAAAAACAAGAGGCGACCAAGTCGACATAGGGTTGCGAAGCTTATTTGTAAATAATATATTTTGTTCTACTACGTACTTTCCTAGATTTCTTAGACATGACACATATCCAATATTGTGTTGACATGAAAAGGTAGCAGCAAGAATCGAACCGGAGACCAACGGCTTCTGATTCGAAATCCATACCACTGTGCTTCCACAAATGACTTCGAGGGGTAAAATTAAAAACATGCATTGATACAGAAGGCCGCGGCAAGAACCGAACCGAGACCATTAGATTAAATCAAGATACTCAAACCACTGCGCTAACAGAACTACCTACTACTTCGGGAATTTTTATAAGGAAGTTGAATTGAAGCCGAAAATTGAATTCCTTTCCCAACATTTCGTCTCTTTCTGGATCGTCAATGCCCTAGTTTCCTCCCGCGTCTCCCTCAACTCCCGCTCCTCCTACGACTGCAGCAGTCATATACTTACTAGGTAAGAATTTAAGGACTAGCGTACGTACTAACGTCTGCTAGTTCTTTTTAGACTTCAAGAAAATATTAGGAGCAGTTTCGTTCATGTTCTTTTCTCTAATTTGAACCAGTAAGTTCTAAGTTATCTAGAAACTTAATCGTTTTTAAGGATATCGTCCATTTCGACGGAACCGTTAGGTCGTTCTTAAATAATGTGTCTTCTCCCGTAAGTCCAACTGTGCTGCTCACGCTCTTAACTCCTAGAACTATCCTCTCATTTCTCTATCATGTCGTTTTCCTCCTTCCTTTTTATTCTTATCAGCTTAGACGCTCTTCTTTCGGTTTTTCTAGTATCTGTGCCCCATCTTCTCGTAGTTATGTGTGTGTGTGTGTTTTTTTCTGTCATACTTACAGGCTCTTTCTGTCTCATTTCTTGCAATGTTTCTTCTCCTCGCATCTCGCGTATAGTCCTCGTATTGCATGTTATCTTCCTTCCGTATTGGTTCCACTCCTACCTTCGTGCGGTTTTTGAATATGTCTTTCATAAGTCTACGAATGTTTTTTTAGAAGCCATAGTTTATTGAAGTCTCTCTCTCTCTCTCTCTCTCTCTCTCTCCTCTCTTCTCTCTCTCTCTCTCTCTCTCTCTCTCTCTCTCTCTCTCTCTCTCTCTCTCTCTCTCTCTCTCTCTCTCTCTCTCTCTGTCAAACTCTTTCGCTCGTTATGTATCTATCAAAACGCTACCTTTCGCTCGTTTATGTATCTATCAAAACGCTAAATAATATACGAGCTCATTTATGTTTTCTTCTTTCCTTGCCCAGATTATTGCGTTTCTCTATGCGGTTATTTTCGCTCGTTTATGTATCTATCAAAACGCTACTATATACGAGCTCATTTATGTTTTCTTCTTTCCTTGCCCAGATTATTGCGTTTCCTCTATGCGGTTATTATCACATCTGGTATTTTTATTCGTTATTCTCCTTTGTACTTCTCTTCCCCACCTGCCTACGTTTCAAATCCTGTAATTCCGTCGTATCGTAGTTCTCTAATGTGTCTCTGCCTCCGTCCTTTTTTCTGCCCCTTCTGCCCCGTTCCTTTCCCTTCCCACTACGTTTCCCCCCGTTTCCCTCCCAGGGTCTTCGCTATAACGTTCGGAGGCTAATGTGGAAATTAAAAGGATTTTGTTTGATTTTTGTTTGAAATGTTAATGATTGATGCTACTGCATTGTTATGTTAGATTTCTTTTAGGTTCATTTTCTGATTGTGACTCGTCTTTGTGTGTGCATATCGGTATGTGCGTGTGTGCGTATGTGTCTCTGTGTGCATATTCATACATATCCACCTGCTATTGCATTAACAATGCGTATCTGTGGATTTTAAAAAAATGGTCAAGCTATCATTTCCGAGAAGGTTCTTTGCCCACTCAGTGAGTGTGTTCACTTGAACTGGATTTGATGGATTTTGATCATTTTTTTAGTTTACACAGATTGTGTTGTTTCATGTAACAGTTGGATGATTCAGGAACTATGCTATCGACTTCCCCCCCATGCTAGGCAGGGGATGCGGTAGCATAAGGTCTGGGTCAATTAACTGTCACGCATTTCCATCATGCCATGCATTCATTTCACTGCACCGGACCTATACCGAAATAAACAGAGCACATGTATATTCACCACAGTCGTATATGCATGTATATTTATGCATTTTGCACTCAATCATCATTATACTTCATCTATACATTATTTTTTACGGCATATGCATTACCGAATAAACGGTCACGCATTCACAGTTACGGTACATCATTTTGGCAAGTCATGTTTATGTTTCATCGATAAAGTATAGGTTACCAGTCAAGGCGAACTACCTAGGAAATGTGAAAGAATGTGGTACGGCACGTGCTAAATTGTCGTGGCAAATACACAGCACTGAATCACTTAGCCACGATTCGCTATTTTTTGTTCATAATGATGAAAAAAAATTGTACATAACGATTGTAATAGGTTGCTTCGCAACCCAAAAAGAATGTATAACCCAACTCAAAGCAACCACAGTAAATGATACTTTCCACTATGCTGGTTGTTTGATGAGGCCCATTGTACCACAAATAAATAAGACTATGTGGAGAAACTGGAAATATTGATAACTTATTGGTGCAGACTGACTGGCACTGTGCACTCAGTCAAACGAAGAACACGCGTGTTCACACCCCATGCTCCCACGTGAAACTTTCTCCAAAACTTTTTCATCTGCCCAGATTGGCCATGTGCGCAAGGCGTGGTGCGCTGTCCACGACCCTGTGGTTGTGGTTCTGCGGCGGTGACAGTTCGAGTGCTTGAAATATCCACGTCACCAGTCGGTGTTGAATTCGGCTGCTTCTTTCACAAACCTTCTCACCGACACACGATAAACACGCGAGAGAAACATCTGCTTCACCTCCACGTACGTGACTCGTTCTGAAATTTCTCAAGAATTCAGCATTCCAGGCTGGCAGTCAAGTGGACCGTGTAATTTCGTTTGATAACGGCTGAAGTGAAGCGCCCTTGGTGACCCCCGTTCGTCACCATTCACACACCACACATCGACAGCGTTGACACCACCATTCCCTCCCTCCACCACAGATTTCTTGCTTCTGCCTGGCTTTACGCGCGGCGTTCCGGACTAAAGTTCGGCAAGATTCACCGCTTATCACATGGCCCCGTGGTCCGATTTGTAGACCCTCAGCATCCCCACAATTTCGCCTCTCGACAGTCCAATGAGGGTCTTTCCAACTATAATTACCCAAATTTACAAAAGGTTTGCGAACCCATGTTCTCAATGGGCATGTGCGTGTGTGCTTACCACATTCTAGTGGTCAAATGACCAACTTTTGTCCTCTGACCCAGCCGCTCACAATTCTACCTACTGAAAAAAAAAACAACCACTGGCAAAACGTGCAAGAAACATCGCCGCTACTTCTTCCCCCATCACCGCTCTTTCTCGATCCCTCTCCCCCATTGCCGCGGCTTTCCCTCTGCTAACGCGCCTCTTCCCCCCTACCACATGCGGAAACGTGAATTTCCGCCAATCGCACGCCCAGTCTTGGCGCTCAAGACTTCAGTCAGTATCGTAGGCGCGCATCCACTCCGCTCTGTCAGCAGCTGTGTAGCACACGAACACGACAGGTCGTTCCCGCCTTGCCTCGTCTTCTCTTCCCCCGCATCCGTCTCCCCCAAATCCTCCCCCACCCACCCGCCCCTGCTGTTGCACTGCCGCTGCTGCTGCCACCGCTGCGCTGCAGCCGTTGCTGCTGCTGCCTCAGTACGTAAATGGTTGTCTAAAAACGTCCCTCCTCTCACAATCTTCGCCATTCCCATCTTCGTTCGCAGCTTTACTGATTGGCAGACTGAACCAGCAAGATCAGCTTGTCCTTTCATTTCCACCGTCCACGCTCGTTTCATCGTCGCACGCGCTGAACGCCCGAAAGATTCAAGTCGGTAAAGAAACGCCATAATCTCCTCAGCCGAAATCGCCCGGAACGCCGACATTGCCATCTCCCCAGCCGTCATTCGCCGCATTCCACGCCGTGATTCTCCCCACCGCTTTTCACTACGTGAAAAACTCGCCAGACATTCCGAAGCTACTATTCGGACAGTAAGGTGAGCTCCTGGGCCGAGTCGCCACGCCGCCTTTGACTTGCGCGCGCATTGCCTCCGCTCTCCGCCACTCCCGTTGTGCATACTTCAACGCGCTCGCAAATCCCGCTTATTGCGAGTGTGTCGCTTATTTCGCTTATCCTTTACAAATAGTACTCGCGGCTCATCCAAATTTCAATCGCATTGACCTCGCTTGCTTCTGACTCTCAGAAATTTCGCGTGCCGCATTCTCGCCAACAACACTGTCGCCTGCCTCGCGAAACACCGCGCATTTCGCAAAATCGTATTCGTCGTGCGCGTTCGCCTTCCGCGTTTGCAGAACATCACATTCGCAACAACACCGCGGCTCGGGAAACGCCAGTCTCTTATATGGTTCCTCTGCGAAGCGAACGACGGGACCCTCGCGGCGCAATGACATTCGCCCGCATCCTCTCTATAGCCCTGCTTGCTCTTACTCTATCGGGAGCGGCGGCGGCCGCCGCCGCAGCAGCCGGTTGCGACGCGTCGACTCTGTCGGGTTACCAGCACATGCGAGACCTCACGGGGCAAGGGTAAGCGGCGGCCGTACCCGTTATAACACAATGCGCACGTCCGCCTCGACGTACGCATCTGAATTCAGCTCCGGAACATCTATCCGGGTTCCGTCAAGTGAAAATATTTCCACTATCCGTTCCCTCCGCGTGGAGTTGTAATGCCGTTTTTCCAATTCCAGCTTGACATGTGTAAACGTTTTCCGTTCCCGGCTCCCCATTACCTCTGAATCGCGTCCATCCAGGTTCATTCTCCACTGGTCGCTCGCGACTCCCACCCAATTGGACATCGCGCTCGAGGCGAAGCCCGGGAGCGGCGCGGAGAACGGGTGGATCTCCGTGGGATGGTCCGCGAACGGGAAAATGGCTCCCGCGGACGCCGTCATCGGTAACCTGCCGGGCGTCGCGGTCGGCGCGTACGACATCAACGGATACGACGGAACGACCGTTGTTGCTTCCAAAAGTTTCAAGATTTCCGGAGGGCTGCTGAGCAGCGCGAATGGCCGGAGCACGATCATCAAGTGAGTGATCTAGAGCCTTGGGCTCACGAGTCCCACGCATCATGACCCGTGGGGACCTTGGGGAATGGGTGGGGGAGCGTGGGGGGAACGGTTGGGCAACGGGTGGATGTCTCCCGTCCGTGGGTGGTCCGCGAACGGGAAAATGGCTCCCCCGGGCGTCGCGGTCGGCGCGTACGACATCAACGGATACGACGGAACGACCGTTGTTGCTTCCAAAAGTTTCAAAGATTTCCGGAGGGCTGCTGAGCAGCGCGAATGGCCGGAGCACGATCATCAAGTGAGTGATCTAGAGCCTTGGGCTCACGAGTCCCACGCATCATGACCCGTGGGGACCTTGGGAATGGGTGGGGAGCGGTGGGGAACGGTTGGGCAACGGGTGGATGTCTCCCGTCCGTGGGGTGGTCCGCGAACGGGAAAATGGCTCCCGCGGATGCCGTCATCGGTAACCTGCCGGGCGTCGCGGTCGGCGCGTACGACATCAACGGATACGATGGGACGACCGTCGTCGCGTCGACGAGCTTTAAGATCTCCGGAGGGCTGCTGAGCAGCGCCAACGGCCGCAGCGCGATCATCAAGCGTGACTTCCTCCCAGGTCCTTAGGACCGCATTGGGCTGAAAGCTCTTGTGCCTATCTTGTCTATTGCGCCGTGGCCGCCTCCTCCCGTCGCTTTCTGGCCGTGCCCGCCTTTTCCCCGCCTCTTCCGTTGTTCCCTACCCCAGATCTATTGGGAGTCGACTGAAATGACTCCCTACCATCTCCGTCGCTCTATCTCCTCACACCAGGTTCTCTCGCTCCCAGGGCGACGGAGGGAGCTCCCGCTCGACCTCACCTGCAGCGCCACCAACACGATCATCTGGGGGTACTCCGCCGCCGCTGGCAGCAAGGCTCTCAGCTGATGTTGGTTCTCCTCTCTCTCTCGCGCTATCTCCCTCCCCCCAGGTTCTCCCGCTCCCAGGGCGATGGCGGCAGCTCCCTCTGGATCTCACCGGTACCGCCACCAACACGATCATCTGGGGGTACTCTGCTGCTGGCAGCAAGGCTCTGGACTACCACGGCACCTTCCGAGGCTCGGCTAAGATCAGCTTCAACTGCGGCGGCAGCACCCCCCACCACCCCCACCACCCCTGTCCCTACTACTCCTACTCCTGCTCCTGGTGGCGCTGGTGCTGGCAGCACCCGTGGCGGCGCTAGCAGCGGCAGTGGCAGCAGCAGTGGCGGGGCCAACTTGCCGGCCTGTGATGCGTCCATGCTGACAGGATACGAGCATTCCAAGGACAACGGGGAATGGGTGAGTCAACGCCGTCAACGTGGTCAATGCTGGTCAACGGCGTTGCTTACCATTTTTAGCAACTTTTTTAACAAACACCACTCATAATTCATTCTCTTCTTTTACATGTTATTTTTTCTTTTCTCCTCAGGTTCCTCCTCCACTGGACACTCTCATCTGCCGGCCAGCTGGACATGGCACTAGAAGCCAAACCGGCCAGTGGCGCCAACAAGGGCTGGATCTCTCTGGGGTGGTCAGCGAACGGCAAGATGTACCCCGCAGATACGGTCATTGGGAATCTCCCTGATGGGTCCGTGGGCGCGTATGACATGAGCGGATACGATGCGTCTGCTGTGCTTCCATCGACGAATTTCAAGATCAGCAAGGCGTCTTTGCTCACTGCCAATGGCGGCAGCACCATTATCAAGTGAGTCTTATTGATGTTTGCGTGGGCAGCGGGCTTCAACTGCAGAAGGGCCGTTGCTCTGTGTGTTCTGTGTGTTCTGTCTGTGCTCACGGCCAATGGCGGCAGCACCATCATCAAGTGAGCCTCATTTGGTTGCGTGGGCAGCCGGCTTTGACTGCAAAAGGGTTGTTGGTTCTGCTTTACTGTCAGGCGCAGCAACCAACTCGATCATCTGAGAGACACTCCGCCGCCAGTCAGCAGCATGGCTCTGACCTCATCCTTCTCCTCTCTTGCTCTCTCGCTCTCGTCCTCACTCTCCTCCTCTGATCTCAACGCAGGTTCTCCCGCTCCAAGGGAGACGGAGGCATCTCCCCTCTGGATCTTTACCGGCGCCGCCACCAACACCATCATCTGGGGGTACTCCGCTGATGACAGCAAGGCTCTGGACTACCACGGCACCTTCCGAGGCTCGGCTAAGATCAGCTTCAACTGCAACAGCAATGGTGGTGCTGGCGCTGGTGCCAGTGCCGGTGAGGGTGCTGGTGCGGGTGCTGGTGCTGGTAACAATGGCACAAGCACAGGCGGTAGCAGCGGCAGCAGCAGTGGCAGCAGCAGCAGCGGCAGCAGTAGCAGCAGCAGCAGCAGCGGCAGCAGCAGTGGCAGCAGCAGCAGTGGCAGCAGCAGCAGCAGTGCAGCCAGTGCTAGCTCGAGCAGCAGCGGGAAGAGTGGCTGCACGCCGTCCACCATCCCTGGGCTGGAGTGCTCCACCAAGCTCAATGGCGACAAGTAAGCATCACTCTCTCTTTCCCCTTATAATTTCTCTCTTGACCATTCCCCTCACTGTTCCCCCCCCTGCTCCCTTCACCTCCGAGTGGGTGCACGCCGTCCACCATCCCTGGGCTTGAGTGCTCCACCAAGCTCAATGACACACTCTCTCTAAAAACACGTGACCTTTTTGTCGACTCAACAAGATCACCGCAAGTGCTGCATAAGCTCAATGGCCACAAGTGAGAATCACTCTCTCTCCCATATAAATACAAGATCTAGACCATTCCTCGAACCGTTCCCTACATCACCGGGGTGGGTCTAAGAGTTGTGGAACGGTGGCAACCGCCGGGTGGGTACCTCTCACTCACACTCTTCCGCCACTCCCTCGCTCACTTCCTCCCAATTCTTCTCCCGCCCTTGCAGCTTCATTCTCCACTGGAAGGCCAACACCTCAACCATCAGCTTCGCATGCGAGGTGGCAACCGCTGGGTGGGTCTCCCTGGGGTGGAGCGCAGACGGCAAGAAGATGTACCCCGCTGATGCCGTCGTCGGCACCGGCAGCGGCAACAGTGCTTCCGTTGCGCCGTATTCCATTTCCAGCTACACGAGCGTGTCACCGAGCTCGGGCTTTGCTGTGTCGGCTACGGCGGTGGAGTCGGGAGCCAATGGGAAGACGGTGGTAAAGTTTTCCCGACAGCTGGCGGTGGGGTCGTTTCCGATTAATGCGAACGGCGTGACTAAGGTCATCTGGGCCTACTCTGCTGATGGGTCGCAGGCTCTCGCCAACCATATGACCAACAGGTGAGCCGCATCACCTCCCACCCTCCCCCCCACCCCCCCACCCCCCCCCTTCTCCCCCCCCTTCTCCCCCCCCCCCTCTCTCCCTCCCTCTCCCTCCCTTTCCCCTCCCATTTCCCCCCTCCTCCCTCGATTTTGGTTTCTCTGGTAGAAAGTACCATAAATCCTCCTCTGCGCTCTCTCACATGCCGCTGTTTGCTCACTATTCCCCCGTCCTACCCTCCTCCCCTGTTCCCGCGCTCCCCCTCCTCCATATCCATTACCCTTATTTGCAGAGGCTCTGCTTCCATCGATTTCGTCTCTGGGAGCACCACTGTTTCGTCCACCACACCGCCCTCAACCACTCTCCTAGTCATCCACGCGTGGCTGCTCGGAATCGCTTTCGGCATCCTCATGCCTGCTGCAATTCTCATCTCGCGAATCTTCCTCGCCGATAAGCTCCAGGAGCGTCCGCCTGGCGTGGACCACGACAAGTGGGAGGCCCAGGTGGCGCGCGCGAAATCCTGGAAGCCGCTGGCGTTTGAGACGCACAAGTGGATGCAGATCACCGCGGTTACGCTGGCTGTCGCTGGGTGTATTATCGTTTTTGTGCAATCCGGATCGGTAGGGCTGCAGAGCTCGCACGGCCAGCTGGGCCTCGCAATCTTCGTGCTGATTTTCGTGCAGCCTATGATTGGTCACTTCCGGCCGAACAAGGGTACAGTGAATCGGCCGACGTGGTTCGTTATCCACTGGGTGCTCGGCATTGGGATTGTCGGACTCGCGTGGCTCAACACTTTCCTCGGATTCGACATCATGCAGACGAAATATTCGTTCAACCTCCAGGTGTGTTTCTTATACAGTAACCCCAACAGCCTGTTATCGTAGTGTTTTTCTTCAAGGGCTGGGACTGACTGGTTTGATGTATGGGCATTGTCAGTCTGTATCTGCATTCACTTGTGTGGTTGTGGGTGGTGGTGGCCGCTCACTGTCTCACATTCCTGTTTATCCTCAGGTTTATCCTCAGCACACACATGTACCCCCCCGTTCTTCTTCCCCACACACGTTCTCCATTCATCCTCTTCACAAACACACACACATATGCTCCCTACCATTCCTCCACTTCCTAGCATTCTCACGTGCTCACAAGCCTCTCCTTCCCTTCTTTCCCTGTGCTCTTCTTCCCCTCCTGTTTCCTCAAGCAGTGGTGCTACATCATCTTTGGGGTCACAGTTGGCCTTCTGGGAGCCATCTACCTTGTCATTTATATCACGGATCAGGTTGTCGCACTCATTTCGATGATCCAAAGGGCAACAACTTCAAACGAGGAGAGGGATGCGGGGAAGCAGCTGGTGATAAATCATGTACCGGTGTAGACGCGCAAGGCCTGTGGTTGTCTATTTTGTTTTGTTTAGCATGGTTTGTAGGTTGTATGTAACAGCCGTCCAAGCATTACGGATGCAGAGCTGCTGTTGCCAGGATTGCTTTGCTTATAGGGTTTGCTCAGTATGCATGCATTGCTTTCACTTCGGATCTGTCTTTGTGTTGATACAGAATTCATAAGTGTGTACAAACGTTTGAATGAGAATGACTGTTGCGATATATTCCAGAGAGGAAATATTTTACTCAAAAGGTCCCTGCTTTTTATTCCCTTCGATACCGTGACCAACCGCTCACAACCTTTTCCCAAACGCTTTGAATTGCAAGTCACCTAGATCAAACGAATTGGTGAAGGCCCGAAAGTGCTGTCAATCCGTCTGTGTCGGAAATCCCAGGGCAACGGATGTCCATTCCTATTCTGGTGACCTTGCTTGCCTGCTATACAACCAACAAGACGGAACTCCCACACCAACATACGACGTTTCGTCTCGACAGACCACTAATTCTACCGTAGCAGCACTCGCTGGTGGTGGTAAAGTTCCGATAATCAGCGTGTCTTGATTCCACCACGGCCTTTCGCGGGGCTCTGCCAAATAGAAGACGAAAAATTAACACCTAAGTGTTTTAGGTTCCAGTGTATTTTTGGCGGCTTGGACTTTCTGAGTGATTTAGGCTCTGCTCCTTTAGTCTCTTGTTACCGTTGACGAATAGATCGCTCACCAGCTCGCTTGGTGAAACTCGTGGTTTGCTCGCCGTTAGCGAAGATGAATTCGTCACAGGCGGGTTACTTCGCGAAGCAGGGGCTGAGCATGCTGTACAATGCCACTGTAACGAGCGTGAGTGCGATTGCAACGGGGATAAACAAGGCGTACCAGACGTACACGGACTACTACGAGCGTGACCAGATCGAAGCCCTTAAGAAATCCGGCAAGCGACCAGCCGACAACCTCTATCTAGGTAATCCCGTTGCACGCGAACTGCAACTGTTGAGTCGACGCAAAAGTCGTCCGGCAAACGACCAGCTGACAACCTCTATCTAGGTAACCCCGTTGCATGCGACATGAGCACGTGCGATGCGAAGTCCAGGACTGTATTCTGGTTGTGGTATCCCTGTAGCGCGTGTATTGCGTAGACAGTGTTTGCAGCATGTTTATGGATTCATGCGGGATTTCAAGATTCATGAACGTATGGTTCACGAGCCATAACCTCATCTAAGCAGCAAGTGTTGATCATTGCTAAGATTAAGTCATGGCTTCTTGAGTTTATGTTTCCATCATTCTTGTGTTTAGTGCGGTTACAAACCCATGGTTGTCATTGACGTCAGGATTCCTTGGATTCACGATTTTTGTATTTCGTTTATCTTAGGCCTCTTCATGGCTGACCTCAACAACAAGGAACCCCATGTCTCTTGTCTCTTTCTCGTGCCTGTTGCCACTGTATTCCTCCTCCCACATGTCAGTGCTGCAGCGCTTCCAGTACCTCTGCATGGCTGGATACAACAACGAGGTCGCTGCTGCCGCCCAAAAGGCAGCTGCCAAGCTGGTGAGAGCGCCTTGGGGTTGCCAGAAGTCTCTCGGGGCTGCCAAAGTTTCTTAGTGTTGCCGAAAATTCCTTGGGGCTGCCAAACGTCTTATGGCGATAAATCAGGGCACTTTCCTGCCCACATGTCGTGTCGCTTTTACAAAGCATACTTCTAGAAGGCAGGTAAGAAGACCGCTCTGATGCATCCGCCTCTCCTTCTCCCAACCATTCTCCCAGATGGCAGGAGAGAAGAGCTCGGTGGCTCACGAGACACTGCTGCTTCTCTGTCGGGTGCCGACGTCAGTGTCACAGCGGTACGGTGAGCAGTCAGAGCAGATGGGCGTACCTGCTCCTTACTCTAACCCCTATCTCGCCCCTCATCTCGTCGTGTTGTCTTTTAGGCGGCAGGAGAGAAGAGCTCAGTGGCTCACGAAACGCTGCTGCTTCTCTGTCGGGTGCTGACGTCAGTGTCGCAGCGTTACGGGGAGCCGAGCAGTCAGGGCACTTTTTGACCCTGTTCTTACTCCATCCCATATCTCGTGTCTCTTTTCCTCGAGCATTTTCCCAGACGGCAGGAGAGACGAGCTCAGTGGCTCATGAAACGCTACTTCTTCTGACCCGGGGGCTGACGTCAGTGTCGCAGCGGTACGGCGAGCAGTCAGAGCAGATGGGCGTACCTGCTTCTTACTCTAACCCCTATCTCGCCCCTCATCTCGTTGTACTGTCTCCCAGACGGCAGGAGAGAAGAGCTCAGTGGCTCATGAGACGCTACTTCTTCTGACCCGGGTGCTGACATCAGTGTCGCAGCGGTACGGCGAGCAGTCAGGGCAGGGGTGGGGGCTGCAGGACTTTCTGAACTCGTCTCGCATGGGCAAAGACCACTTTGACCGCGACCAGCTCGTCACTGACTTCTACTTCGCCATCCTCTTCGTGCAGGACGTGAGTGCTCTGCTCATTTCTCCCTCCCACTTCCACTCCCCCCTCCAACCCCCCTTCCCCCCTCCCCCTTCCCCGCCTCCTCTCTCCCGGCTCCCTTCTTCTCGAGGTGCCGGTGAGTGGAGAGAGAGGGATAGTGGGTATCAGTCAGGGAGGCCATCCGGATTGAGTGAGGGAGTGCGTGAGTGAGGGAGTGAGGGAGGGCATGAGCGACGAGCATTGAGAACAGGGTGGGGGCTGCAGGACTTTCTGAACTCGTCTCGCATGGGCAAGGACCACTTCGACCGCGACCAGCTCGTCACTGACTTCTACTTCGCCATCCTCTTCGTTCAGGAAGTGAGTGGGTAGCAGGGAAGGCATGGTGTGAGTGGGTAGCAGGGAAGGCATGGTGTGAGTGGGTAGCAGGGAAGGCATGGTGTGAGTGGGTAGCAGGGAAGGCATGGTGTGAGTGGGTAGCAGGGAAGGCATGGTGTGAGTGGGTAGCAGGGAAGGCATGGTGTGAGTGGGTAGCAGGGAAGGCATGGTGTGAGTGGGTAGCAGGGAAGGCATGGTGTGAGTGGGTAGCAGGGAAGGCATGGTGTGAGTGGGTAGCAGGGAAGGCATGGTGTGAGTGGGTAGCAGGGAAGGCATGGTGTGAGTGGGTAGCAGGGAAGGCATGGTGTGAGTGGGTAGCAGGGAAGGCATGGTGTGAGTGGGTAGCAGGGAAGGCATGGTGTGAGTGGGTAGCAGGGAAGGCATGGTGTGAGTGGGTAGCAGGGAAGGCATGGTGTGAGTGGGTAGCAGGGAAGGCATGGTGTGAGTGGGTAGCAGGGAAGGCATGGTGTGAGTGGGTAGCAGGGAAGGCATGGTGTGAGTGGGTAGCAGGGAAGGCATGGTGTGAGTGGGTAGCAGGGAAGGCATGGTGTGAGTGGGTAGCAGGGAAGGCATGGTGTGAGTGGGTAGCAGGGAAGGCATGGTGTGAGTGGGTAGCAGGGAAGGCATGGTGTGAGTGGGTAGCAGGGAAGGCATGGTGTGAGTGGGTAGCAGGGAAGGCATGGTGTGAGTGGGTAGCAGGGAAGGCATGGTGTGAGTGGGTAGCAGGGAAGGCATGGTGTGAGTGGGTAGCAGGGAAGGCATGGTGTGAGTGGGTAGCAGGGAAGGCATGGTGTGAGTGGGTAGCAGGGAAGGCATGGTGTGAGTGGGTAGCAGGGAAGGCATGGTGTGAGTGGGTAGCAGGGAAGGCATGGTGTGAGTGGGTAGCAGGGAAGGCATGGTGTGAGTGGGTAGCAGGGAAGGCATGGTGTGAGTGGGTAGCAGGGAAGGCATGGTGTGAGTGGGTAGCAGGGAAGGCATGGTGTGAGTGGGTAGCAGGGAAGGCATGGTGTGAGTGGGTAGCAGGGAAGGCATGGTGTGAGTGGGTAGCAGGGAAGGCATGGTGTGAGTGGGTAGCAGGGAAGGCATGGTGTGAGTGGGTAGCAGGGAAGGCATGGTGTGAGTGGGTAGCAGGGAAGGCATGGTGTGAGTGGGTAGCAGGGAAGGCATGGTGTGAGTGGGTAGCAGGGAAGGCATGGTGTGAGTGGGTAGCAGGGAAGGCATGGTGTGAGTGGGTAGCAGGGAAGGCATGGTGTGAGTGGGTAGCAGGGAAGGCATGGTGTGAGTGGGTAGCAGGGAAGGCATGGTGTGAGTGGGTAGCAGGGAAGGCATGGTGTGAGTGGGTAGCAGGGAAGGCATGGTGTGAGTGGGTAGCAGGGAAGGCATGGTGTGAGTGGGTAGCAGGGAAGGCATGGTGTGAGTGGGTAGCAGGGAAGGCATGGTGTGAGTGGGTAGCAGGGAAGGCATGGTGTGAGTGGGTAGCAGGGAAGGCATGGTGTGAGTGGGTAGCAGGGAAGGCATGGTGTGAGTGGGTAGCAGGGAAGGCATGGTGTGAGTGGGTAGCAGGGAAGGCATGGTGTGAGTGGGTAGCAGGGAAGGCATGGTGTGAGTGGGTAGCAGGGAAGGCATGGTGTGAGTGGGTAGCAGGGAAGGCATGGTGTGAGTGGGTAGCAGGGAAGGCATGGTGTGAGTGGGTAGCAGGGAAGGCATGGTGTGAGTGGGTAGCAGGGAAGGCATGGTGTGAGTGGGTAGCAGGGAAGGCATGGTGTGAGTGGGTAGCAGGGAAGGCATGGTGTGAGTGGGTAGCAGGGAAGGCATGGTGTGAGTGGGTAGCAGGGAAGGCATGGTGTGAGTGGGTAGCAGGGAAGGCATGGTGTGAGTGGGTAGCAGGGAAGGCATGGTGTGAGTGGGTAGCAGGGAAGGCATGGTGTGAGTGGGTAGCAGGGAAGGCATGGTGTGAGTGGGTAGCAGGGAAGGCATGGTGTGAGTGGGTAGCAGGGAAGGCATGGTGTGAGTGGGTAGCAGGGAAGGCATGGTGTGAGTGGGTAGCAGGGAAGGCATGGTGTGAGTGGGTAGCAGGGAAGGCATGGTGTGAGTGGGTAGCAGGGAAGGCATGGTGTGAGTGGGTAGCAGGGAAGGCATGGTGTGAGTGGGTAGCAGGGAAGGCATGGTGTGAGTGGGTAGCAGGGAAGGCATGGTGTGAGTGAGGGAAGGCATGGTGTGAGTGGGTAGCAGGGAAGGCATGGTGTGAGTGGGTAGCAGGGAAGGCATGGTGTGAGTGGGTAGCAGGGAAGGCATGGTGTGAGTGGGTAGCAGGGAAGGCATGGTGTGAGTGGGTAGCAGGGAAGGCATGGTGTGAGTGGGTAGCAGGGAAGGCATGGTGTGAGTGGGTAGCAGGGAAGGCATGGTGTGAGTGGGTAGCAGGGAAGGCATGGTGTGAGTGGGTAGCAGGGAAGGCATGGTGTGAGTGGGTAGCAGGGAAGGCATGGTGTGAGTGGGTAGCAGGGAAGGCATGGTGTGAGTGGGTAGCAGGGAAGGCATGGTGTGAGTGGGTAGCAGGGAAGGCATGGTGTGAGTGGGTAGCAGGGAAGGCATGGTGTGAGTGGGTAGCAGGGAAGGCATGGTGTGAGTGGGTAGCAGGGAAGGCATGGTGTGAGTGGGTAGCAGGGAAGGCATGGTGTGAGTGGGTAGCAGGGAAGGCATGGTGTGAGTGGGTAGCAGGGAAGGCATGGTGTGAGTGGGTAGCAGGGAAGGCATGGTGTGAGTGGGTAGCAGGGAAGGCATGGTGTGAGTGGGTAGCAGGGAAGGCATGGTGTGAGTGGGTAGCAGGGAAGGCATGGTGTGAGTGGGTAGCAGGGAAGGCATGGTGTGAGTGGGTAGCAGGGAAGGCATGGTGTGAGTGGGTAGCAGGGAAGGCATGGTGTGAGTGGGTAGCAGGGAAGGCATGGTGTGAGTGGGTAGCAGGGAAGGCATGGTGTGAGTGGGTAGCAGGGAAGGCATGGTGTGAGTGGGTAGCAGGGAAGGCATGGTGTGAGTGGGTAGCAGGGAAGGCATGGTGTGAGTGGGTAGCAGGGAAGGCATGGTGTGAGTGGGTAGCAGGGAAGGCATGGTGTGAGTGGGTAGCAGGGAAGGCATGGTGTGAGTGGGTAGCAGGGAAGGCATGGTGTGAGTGGGTAGCAGGGAAGGCATGGTGTGAGTGGGTAGCAGGGAAGGCATGGTGTGAGTGGGTAGCAGGGAAGGCATGGTGTGAGTGGGTAGCAGGGAAGGCATGGTGTGAGTGGGTAGCAGGGAAGGCATGGTGTGAGTGGGTAGCAGGGAAGGCATGGTGTGAGTGGGTAGCAGGGAAGGCATGGTGTGAGTGGGTAGCAGGGAAGGCATGGTGTGAGTGGGTAGCAGGGAAGGCATGGTGTGAGTGGGTAGCAGGGAAGGCATGGTGTGAGTGGGTAGCAGGGAAGGCATGGTGTGAGTGGGTAGCAGGGAAGGCATGGTGTGAGTGGGTAGCAGGGAAGGCATGGTGTGAGTGGGTAGCAGGGAAGGCATGGTGTGAGTGGGTAGCAGGGAAGGCATGGTGTGAGTGGGTAGCAGGGAAGGCATGGTGTGAGTGGGTAGCAGGGAAGGCATGGTGTGAGTGGGTAGCAGGGAAGGCATGGTGTGAGTGGGTAGCAGGGAAGGCATGGTGTGAGTGGGTAGCAGGGAAGGCATGGTGTGAGTGGGTAGCAGGGAAGGCATGGTGTGAGTGGGTAGCAGGGAAGGCATGGTGTGAGTGGGTAGCAGGGAAGGCATGGTGTGAGTGGGTAGCAGGGAAGGCATGGTGTGAGTGGGTAGCAGGGAAGGCATGGTGTGAGTGGGTAGCAGGGAAGGCATGGTGTGAGTGGGTAGCAGGGAAGGCATGGTGTGAGTGGGTAGCAGGGAAGGCATGGTGTGAGTGGGTAGCAGGGAAGGCATGGTGTGAGTGGGTAGCAGGGAAGGCATGGTGTGAGTGGGTAGCAGGGAAGGCATGGTGTGAGTGGGTAGCAGGGAAGGCATGGTGTGAGTGGGTAGCAGGGAAGGCATGGTGTGAGTGGGTAGCAGGGAAGGCATGGTGTGAGTGGGTAGCAGGGAAGGCATGGTGTGAGTGGGTAGCAGGGAAGGCATGGTGTGAGTGGGTAGCAGGGAAGGCATGGTGTGAGTGGGTAGCAGGGAAGGCATGGTGTGAGTGGGTAGCAGGGAAGGCATGGTGTGAGTGGGTAGCAGGGAAGGCATGGTGTGAGTGGGTAGCAGGGAAGGCATGGTGTGAGTGGGTAGCAGGGAAGGCATGGTGTGAGTGGGTAGCAGGGAAGGCATGGTGTGAGTGGGTAGCAGGGAAGGCATGGTGTGAGTGGGTAGCAGGGAAGGCATGGTGTGAGTGGGTAGCAGGGAAGGCATGGTGTGAGTGGGTAGCAGGGAAGGCATGGTGTGAGTGGGTAGCAGGGAAGGCATGGTGTGAGTGGGTAGCAGGGAAGGCATGGTGTGAGTGGGTAGCAGGGAAGGCATGGTGTGAGTGGGTAGCAGGGAAGGCATGGTGTGAGTGGGTAGCAGGGAAGGCATGGTGTGAGTGGGTAGCAGGGAAGGCATGGTGTGAGTGGGTAGCAGGGAAGGCATGGTGTGAGTGGGTAGCAGGGAAGGCATGGTGTGAGTGGGTAGCAGGGAAGGCATGGTGTGAGTGGGTAGCAGGGAAGGCATGGTGTGAGTGGGTAGCAGGGAAGGCATGGTGTGAGTGGGTAGCAGGGAAGGCATGGTGTGAGTGGGTAGCAGGGAAGGCATGGTGTGAGTGGGTAGCAGGGAAGGCATGGTGTGAGTGGGTAGCAGGGAAGGCATGGTGTGAGTGGGTAGCAGGGAAGGCATGGTGTGAGTGGGTAGCAGGGAAGGCATGGTGTGAGTGGGTAGCAGGGAAGGCATGGTGTGAGTGGGTAGCAGGGAAGGCATGGTGTGAGTGGGTAGCAGGGAAGGCATGGTGTGAGTGGGTAGCAGGGAAGGCATGGTGTGAGTGGGTAGCAGGGAAGGCATGGTGTGAGTGGGTAGCAGGGAAGGCATGGTGTGAGTGGGTAGCAGGGAAGGCATGGTGTGAGTGGGTAGCAGGGAAGGCATGGTGTGAGTGGGTAGCAGGGAAGGCATGGTGTGAGTGGGTAGCAGGGAAGGCATGGTGTGAGTGGGTAGCAGGGAAGGCATGGTGTGAGTGGGTAGCAGGGAAGGCATGGTGTGAGTGGGTAGCAGGGAAGGCATGGTGTGAGTGGGTAGCAGGGAAGGCATGGTGTGAGTGGGTAGCAGGGAAGGCATGGTGTGAGTGGGTAGCAGGGAAGGCATGGTGTGAGTGGGTAGCAGGGAAGGCATGGTGTGAGTGGGTAGCAGGGAAGGCATGGTGTGAGTGGGTAGCAGGGAAGGCATGGTGTGAGTGGGTAGCAGGGAAGGCATGGTGTGAGTGGGTAGCAGGGAAGGCATGGTGTGAGTGGGTAGCAGGGAAGGCATGGTGTGAGTGGGTAGCAGGGAAGGCATGGTGTGAGTGGGTAGCAGGGAAGGCATGGTGTGAGTGGGTAGCAGGGAAGGCATGGTGTGAGTGGGTAGCAGGGAAGGCATGGTGTGAGTGGGTAGCAGGGAAGGCATGGTGTGAGTGGGTAGCAGGGAAGGCATGGTGTGAGTGGGTAGCAGGGAAGGCATGGTGTGAGTGGGTAGCAGGGAAGGCATGGTGTGAGTGGGTAGCAGGGAAGGCATGGTGTGAGTGGGTAGCAGGGAAGGCATGGTGTGAGTGGGTAGCAGGGAAGGCATGGTGTGAGTGGGTAGCAGGGAAGGCATGGTGTGAGTGGGTAGCAGGGAAGGCATGGTGTGAGTGGGTAGCAGGGAAGGCATGGTGTGAGTGGGTAGCAGGGAAGGCATGGTGTGAGTGGGTAGCAGGGAAGGCATGGTGTGAGTGGGTAGCAGGGAAGGCATGGTGTGAGTGGGTAGCAGGGAAGGCATGGTGTGAGTGGGTAGCAGGGAAGGCATGGTGTGAGTGGGTAGCAGGGAAGGCATGGTGTGAGTGGGTAGCAGGGAAGGCATGGTGTGAGTGGGTAGCAGGGAAGGCATGGTGTGAGTGGGTAGCAGGGAAGGCATGGTGTGAGTGGGTAGCAGGGAAGGCATGGTGTGAGTGGGTAGCAGGGAAGGCATGGTGTGAGTGGGTAGCAGGGAAGGCATGGTGTGAGTGGGTAGCAGGGAAGGCATGGTGTGAGTGGGTAGCAGGGAAGGCATGGTGTGAGTGGGTAGCAGGGAAGGCATGGTGTGAGTGGGTAGCAGGGAAGGCATGGTGTGAGTGGGTAGCAGGGAAGGCATGGTGTGAGTGGGTAGCAGGGAAGGCATGGTGTGAGTGGGTAGCAGGGAAGGCATGGTGTGAGTGGGTAGCAGGGAAGGCATGGTGTGAGTGGGTAGCAGGGAAGGCATGGTGTGAGTGGGTAGCAGGGAAGGCATGGTGTGAGTGGGTAGCAGGGAAGGCATGGTGTGAGTGGGTAGCAGGGAAGGCATGGTGTGAGTGGGTAGCAGGGAAGGCATGGTGTGAGTGGGTAGCAGGGAAGGCATGGTGTGAGTGGGTAGCAGGGAAGGCATGGTGTGAGTGGGTAGCAGGGAAGGCATGGTGTGAGTGGGTAGCAGGGAAGGCATGGTGTGAGTGGGTAGCAGGGAAGGCATGGTGTGAGTGGGTAGCAGGGAAGGCATGGTGTGAGTGGGTAGCAGGGAAGGCATGGTGTGAGTGGGTAGCAGGGAAGGCATGGTGTGAGTGGGTAGCAGGGAAGGCATGGTGTGAGTGGGTAGCAGGGAAGGCATGGTGTGAGTGGGTAGCAGGGAAGGCATGGTGTGAGTGGGTAGCAGGGAAGGCATGGTGTGAGTGGGTAGCAGGGAAGGCATGGTGTGAGTGGGTAGCAGGGAAGGCATGGTGTGAGTGGGTAGCAGGGAAGGCATGGTGTGAGTGGGTAGCAGGGAAGGCATGGTGTGAGTGGGTAGCAGGGAAGGCATGGTGTGAGTGGGTAGCAGGGAAGGCATGGTGTGAGTGGGTAGCAGGGAAGGCATGGTGTGAGTGGGTAGCAGGGAAGGCATGGTGTGAGTGGGTAGCAGGGAAGGCATGGTGTGAGTGGGTAGCAGGGAAGGCATGGTGTGAGTGGGTAGCAGGGAAGGCATGGTGTGAGTGGGTAGCAGGGAAGGCATGGTGTGAGTGGGTAGCAGGGAAGGCATGGTGTGAGTGGGTAGCAGGGAAGGCATGGTGTGAGTGGGTAGCAGGGAAGGCATGGTGTGAGTGGGTAGCAGGGAAGGCATGGTGTGAGTGGGTAGCAGGGAAGGCATGGTGTGAGTGGGTAGCAGGGAAGGCATGGTGTGAGTGGGTAGCAGGGAAGGCATGGTGTGAGTGGGTAGCAGGGAAGGCATGGTGTGAGTGGGTAGCAGGGAAGGCATGGTGTGAGTGGGTAGCAGGGAAGGCATGGTGTGAGTGGGTACCAGGGAGTGAGGGAGGGGTTGACGACCAGCTCGTCATTGACTTCTACTTCGCCATCCTCTTTGTGCAGGACGTGAGTGAGTGGAGAATGATTTGCGTGAGTTTATTCAAGTACCATGCCCCCTCCCTATCCCCACCTCCCCAAAACCAAACCCTTGTATCTTTTTCAGGTGTGTGGGGGACCTGGGCCTTAGTTTGAGCAGGCCATTCGCGAAGCGACAGGGAGGCTGGTGGAGGGGAACAAGTACGTGGGCGAGGGAGGCAGGGGTCTCCTCATACGCATCTCCATACTCCTTCCCCACCCTCGCCCCACCCCACTAACCAATCTCTCTATTGTTTCCTCAGGTGTGTGGGGGACCTGGGCCGCAGTTTGAGCAGGCCATTCGCGAGGCAACAGGGAGGCTAGTGGAGGGTGATAAATACGTGGGCGAGGGAGGGGGGTTCTCTGGCGGCGGTGCTGCTGCCTTCGGTGGTGCTTCCTCCTCCGTGCCCTCCTATGCCGCTGTGCCGTCAGCCAGCGCACTGCCTGCTGATCAAGACCCCAAGTGAGTCTGTGGGTTCGCCGCATGTCTCAAGGTGTAATGGAGTAGCAAGGAGGCTGGTGGAGGGGGGCAAGTACGTGGGCGAGGGAGGGGGCTTCTCTGGTGGCGGTGCTGCCTTCGGCGGTTCTTCCTCCTCCGTGCCCTCCGATGCCGCTGTGCCATCAGCCAGCGCTCTACCCTCTGATCAAGACCCCAAGTGAGTCGTTTCTATCTTTGTCATATGTTGCAAAAGAGAGACGAGCATGTGGCCAAGGCAGCACAAGTTGATCTCAAGCGATTCTGTAATTTCTGAGGCGCCTCAAAAGACGAATTTTTAGGCGCCTCAAAGAGAGACAATAATGTGGGCAAGGCAGCACAAGTCAATCTCAAACAATTCTGTAATCTCCTCTCCTCGTCTTTTTCCTCCATTCGCCCTGCCTCCCACCCTAATGGCCAGGTAGAAAGCGGTAAAGGTGGTGCAGGTGCTATCGCAGGCCGTGCGCAAGGCAGCAGAGGTCTCTTCTTTATGCGTCCCTTCCTCCTCCTGCTCTCTGTTTCTCCTCTGTTTCTCCGTTCTTTTCCCGCCGTACCCCAATCACCAGGAAGAAAGCGATGAAGGTGGTGCAGGTGCTATCGCAGGCCGTGCGCAAGGCAGCAGAGGTTTCTTCTTTATGCGTCCCTTCCTCCTCTTGCTCTCTTTTCTTTTTTTTTAGAATTCTGAAAAAAAAACAGACTCTGCACAAGGCAGCAGAGTCTCTTCTTTATGCGTCCCTTCCTCCTCCTGCTCTCTGTTTCTCCGGTGCTTTTCCCGCCCTACCCCACTCGCCAGGAAGAAAGCGATGAAGGTGGTGCAGGTGCTATCCCAAGCCGTGCGCAAGGCAGCAGAGGATGCAGACGGGCGCAAGCAGCGGTCGCTCAAAGAAGCAGAGGATATGCTTCGGCGCGAGAACGAAAAAGCAGCTGCTGCTGCCGGCGTGGGCTATGCCGCACCTCCCGCCAAGCCTCTCAGCAGCTTCGGCGGCGGAGCCTCGGCAGCAGCTCCGGTGGGCGGGTATGGTTCGGCAGGTGGTTTTGCGGCCAAGCCCAGTAGTGTGTCGAACTGGAGTGGGGGGAGTGGGGCTGCTGCTGCTGCGCCCAGCCCTTGGAGTGGGGGAGGGGGGAGTGCATTGGGGGGACCTGTAGGGGGAACGATGGGGGGAACGGGGGAAGTAGTGCTTGGGGAGGGGGGAGTGCGAGTGTGGGAGGGGGAGGGGGTTTTGGAGGAGGTAGTGGTGGTGGTGGGGGGTGGGGTGGGAGTGCTTCGACAGGAGGGGGAGTGCGTGGGGGGCAGGGGAGGGCAGGCAGGGGGGAGTGCAGGGGGGGGGGGGGGGCGACAGGGGGAAGCACGACGGGAGGGAGTTCTGGGTGGGGCACTGGCACTGGTGGCAGCTTGATATAGCGCAGTTGCTGTCAATACGGGCGACAAGACAAAGGAGCAGCACAGCACAGCATAATATCTGGTGTCAATAGGAGCGGAGCAGAGGGAGTGGCAGACCTGGTGTCAATATGGGAGAGAATACAGCACAGCAGTTAGCGTTTGTGTTAAACAGAACCACAGTGCAGCACAGCAGTGCACAAGGTGTGTCAATTGAGTGACGTAACATTGGAACGTAGCCGCGATGTGAGGCAATAGTCGGCAGCATTGGAACTTAGCCGCAATACGAGGGGATAGTTGGCGACTTACCGCTCCTAACAGGCACAAGGAAGCTGTGGTTGGGGTATAAGCAGGAGCAGGCAATTCTTGGTGGCCGGTGGCTGCTATGACGTGCCACGGTGCTACTATAAACAGAATCATATGAGATGTTGACTGATATTTCTTCAGAATCTGGAGAGTGACACGCTACAGGCTGCAGTGCAGTGTAATGGGGATGGAGCACGAACACACACAGACACACAAAGGTGCAGCTTCAGTAAATCTAATAGACATGCTGCCAAGTCAATGTACCGGTACATTTAAAGACTAGTGTTCTTGATAAATCCCTCCTTGATACACTCCCCTGTTTCCAGCCTCCCTCCTTTACCACTACTCTTGGCACGTGTACCAAACCAAACTTGCATGCTCATTTACCAAGGGGCTCTAATCCAGACTTTCCTCTGTTGCATTTCCAATTTACTGCATCAAGCAGGATGGATCATTTGCTGCATATGAAATTTTTCGAAAGCTTGCTTTCTTGCATGTAGCAATTGGCATCGTCTCATTTCAAATGGGTTTAGTACAATTGAAATCTAAGCAGTGACATTACAACAATATGCCTCTACGTTATCAACGCTATCCTGCTTTCGAGGGGGGGTGGGTGGGAAAATCGGCTAAACCGTTTGAAAATGAGAGACGTGGGTGGAGGGAAATGACCTCCAGCCCACGTTTTGTACTCCAAAACGGGCGTTTAGCGCGGCTCGACGCTGCCAAATCCTACATTGCAGGCAGCTTCGCTTTCAAAATACATAATTTTGAAAAGCGTTACAGCTTTTAAAAATATACATTTTTCGAAAGTGTGTAACACTTTCTAAAAATGCGTATTGTGAAAGCGCAGCTGCCTGTAACGAAGCAAAGCAACGGCGAATTACAATTTGCCGATTACATAACGAGGGTTGGAGGCCATTCGGCCTCCACCCACGACTTCATTTCAGAACTTCGGAGTTTCACTCCAATTCTCGTCCAACCACCTCGACCGATTCCTTTGTCGCTAGAAACCATCTTCTAAGCTAATACTCACTTGCACGTTCGACCCAGGCGCTTGATTTTCCATGAAGGGCAAACTATCACGAGTGCGACTGTAACTGGCGGGCGCTCAACTGAGATCGAATTGCGTCGGACAAAACGCCAACAGGGGCGCCAGAGACGAAATCGCCAGTGGCGCGCGCTAGGGACGAAATCGCCAATGGCGCCAGTGGCGCACGATTGGGACGAAATCGCCACTGGCGCCAGTGGCGCGCATCAGGGACGAAATCGACACTGACGCCAGTGGCGCGCGCCAGGGACGAAATCGCCACCGGCGCCAGTGGCGCGCGATCTGGACGAAATCGCCACTGGCGCAAGTGCCGCGCGCCAGGGACGAAATCGCCACACGCGCGCATGTGGCGAAATTGCCATGTGCGCCAGTGGCAAAATCGCCACCAGCGCTCGAGGGACGAAATGGCCGCTGGAGGGGCAGTTACGAAATTGCTACTGCAGCGCCTAAGTCGTTTGACTGGGCGTCATTCGTTTCCTACGTGCTGCAAGTCTTTTAAGTTTTAAAATTTTCTTCCGTTATGATCTCTTCGATTATTTTCCATTAATCTCTATGCTCCTATTGTTACTTGGTGGCAGAAAAATTGGCTCAACACCACGGGTGTCGAAAGACATTTTTAAAGACTCTACTGGTCGCGCGGGAGAACTACATTTACGACAGGATCAACTCAACGCGCACCCAAGGACGTCTCCCAATAAAAAGAAGGGACAGAGGGTCTTCGTGTGGCCTGAGAGCCGTCCCCCAGGGGGGGAAGGGGACCGAGGGTCCCCGTGTGGCCTGAGAGCCGTCCCCCAGGGGGGGAAGGGGACCGAGGGTCCCCGTGTGGCCTGAGAGCCGTCCCCCAGGGGGGGAAGGGGACCGAGGGTCCCCGTGTGGCCTGAGAGCCGTCCCCCAAGTGGGGAAGGGGACCGAGGGTCCCCGTGTGGCCTGAGAGCCGTCCCCCAGGGGGGGAAGGGGACCGAGGGTCCCCGTGTGGCCTGAGAGCCGTCCCCCAGGGGGGGAAGGGGACCGAGGGTCCCCGTGTGGCCTGAGAGCCGTCCCCCAGGGGGGGAAGGGGACCGAGGGTCCCCGTGTGGCCTGAGAGCCGTCCCCCAGGGGGGGAAGGGGACCGAGGGTCCCCGTGTGGCCTGAGAGCCGTCCCCCAGGGGGGGAAGGGGACCGAGGGTCCTAGCGTGGCCTGAGAGCCGTCCCCCAGGGGGGGAAGGGGACCGAGGGTCCTGGCGTGGCCTGAGAGCCGTCCCCCAGGGGGGAAGAGACTCGAAGGTCCACACGTTGCCCTTACCGTAAAATGGGCAAAAATTTCGAACAATGTGCTCGTTTGTATGACTGGATCATCCTTGGTTTTTTATTTACCCATTTACTTTTTAATATGACCAAAAAAAAAAAAAAAAAAGAGGCTGGTTGGAGCCCCACTGAAATCTCGGGAAGCAACTGTTCAAGTGCACCTCCAGTTGGTTTTAAAATCTTGACTTGACTTAAGTTGGTGTTCACACACCTTTAAACCACATTCTGTGTTTTTTCCAAATAAGGGCAATGACAATGGGATCGGTTTTCGCCATCATTCTCATCCCACTTTGTTCGATAACACCCGACAGGGAAGCAAAAGCACGCGTTGAAACGACTTGCATGCTGTCACCTGAATGGGCGTTTGGGAGTAAAAGGCGGCAATTGTGTGACCGTGCCTACCCAACCAACATGACGAATACCACACTCACCCGACTACCACTTCAAACCCTTACATCCACCCACGTTGTAGTTATTCCGACCGGGAACATCAAACGACTGGAAAGCAGAGCACATGGAAGCTAAATCCCAAGATAAAAGTTGTACCGTACATTGGGCGTGTAGAGTACGGGAACCACTATCAGAATACTAGCGTGAGAATGGTGCATTGAATGGAGAGTTGGGTACAAGTAGCTAACCCTAGTTGGGGTTGTACCCCATACTGGCTACCCCACTACAGCCTACCAACATATAACAGTTTAACACACCCCCATAGGCAAAGTGGGGGAGAACAAAGGGTCACAAGACCAGTCCAGCAAAGCAACGCAAGCCCAGGGTGGATCACAACGTCACCACACTCCGAGCACAAGCAAAGGCCACAAGGCCAGTTCACATGCAGTGCTAGATATAGTACAAGACAAGCAACACAGTGATCAAAACCTAGCAAGCAAGCAAAAAGATATATATAAAGTACAGTACAAAGAAAGTCAAGCAGTAAGCAAATGAGGGAATGTGGACACAAGGCCTAAAGAAGTACAGTGCCGCTGATGATCACTAGGCGGGAGCGCCTTGGTGAAGATACTAGCAGTGTTGGCCTTCGAGTCCACGTACACAAGCCGAAGCTGACCTCGCTGCTGCAGCTCTCGAGCAAGAAAGTAGCGAAGAGCAATGTGCTTCGTCCTGTGCTCCAGTCTGTGCTCCTGACACAAGGCAAGGGCCGCCTTGTTGTCGCCGTACAGAACTGGAGGAGAACTAGGCCGCTCTCCCAAGTCAGTCAGCAGGTAGGTGAGCCAGCGTAACTCCTGTGCAGCCATGGCCATGGCGTAGATCTCAGCCTCACAACTAGAGCTGAGAACAGAAGAAGAGCGGGTGGACCGCCACGAGACAGAACCAGAGCCAAGGCTGAAGGTGTAACCCTGCGACGACCGCTGCGTAGCCAAGTCGTCCACCCAAGAAGCGTCCGAGTGACCAGTGAGAACAACTCTGTCGCGTCCTCCAAGCACCAGCCCCATGCCTGATGTACTGCACAAGTAACGCAGCACCCTCTTAGCAGCCTCCCAGTGCTCTCGCCTGTGTCTCCCAGGCGCAACGTAACGAGCAAGGATGCTAAGAGGGTACGCAAGGTCAGGTCGCGTGCAAGTCATCAGGTACATGAGGCAGCCTACAAGCTCTGGGTACGGGCCACTCGGCTCTACGGACTCGTCCGAAGGTGGAGCTGAGAGCGAGTGGCTGGTAGCCAGAGGTGTGGCCTGTGGTGAGGAGAACTGGAAGCCGAAGCGCTGAAGGACCTGCTGCACCATGTGTGACTGAGTCAGGGTAATGGTGCGGCGTGCTCTGTCCCGGGTGATCTGCAAGCCAAGGTAGCTATGCAGCTCACCCAGGTCAGTGCAGGTGTGTCTCTTCTGCAGCTCCGACTTCACACGAGCAAGTGCCTCAGTGTCAGCAGTAGCAAAGACCAAGTCGTCGACGTACACGAGAATGTAGAACGGCGGCAGCGACGTGTCTGTGCGCAGAAACAGCGACGGGTCAGCAGTAGACGGCGCGAACCCAAGGGCCGCAAGTGTAGTCCTCAGTGTGTCGTGCCACTCACGTGGCGCCTGGCGGAGACCGTAGACTGGCCGGCGGAGGCTCCACTGGGTACCAGGAGGAAACGACCCAGTAAAGCCAGGTGGGCGGCGCAGCCAGATCTCCTCGTGCAGGCTGCCCTGCAGGAAAGCTGTGCTGAAGTCAAGAGAGTGAAGCTTGTAGTCACGCTGAGCGGCAACGTGCAGCAGCATCCGAAGAGTGGTCATCTTCGGGGTGGGGGAGAAGGTCTGGAAGAAGTCAACCCCCTGGCGCTGACTGAAGCCTCTAGCAACGTAACGAGCCTTGAAGACAGGCGGAGAACCCGGCGGCCGCTTCACCCTGAAAATCCACATGCCATCGACGATGTTCGCCCCAGG